CATTTGCCTATGTGCCATGTGTCTCCTCTCTACCCAGAGGCAGTCCTTTGTCCCTACGGGACAAATAACCCTCCCCTCTTTCCCTTCTGCCCCATTCCCCATCTCCTTTACCATCTCCTAGTTCATTCTAACACAGACCTCCCCTTTTCCTCCTCTTAAAAATTATACATACAAGGTCATTTGCTGCTGTTTTCTGCCTGAGTCAGAAGCAGCCACTTTAACTTTTCTTCCCCACTTAATAAAGGATCTCTCTGTGAAAATGGGTGTTTGGGTGGGATTTGTGTCTGATCCTGGGTCTGGGGAGAAGCCCCCACTGTTGAGTCTCCTTCAAACGCTGTCACTTCCAAAACAATCGCCATGGGATACTGGGCCAGATACCATCAGGGAAGTTAATAGACTGCACATGAATTATATGATCTTCCTGAACTTCATCTGGTCCTGAAGACTTCAAATGAAGGTCAGTGCATATAAATTACCATTCTATTTTATTTTTCTCTATTGTACTCATCCCCATTTGACTGTGTGAATAAACTTGTTTGATTTTTATGTAACTCCCACCACCAGAACCAGGCCAATGGCTGTTTATTACTATGCTCCTAGCACTTAGCTAAGTGCTTGGTATTTAGTAAGTGCTCCATATAGCAACAGACACAATGAATAACTGGCTAAGAATGATGTCCAGAATGAATGACTAATTAGTCCTTTTAATGTCAAAGGAGGATTATTACACATGGCCAATGGCACTTCAACCAGGACAGAGGCTTAGTTGGCAACGGGACAGACATATTAAAAACCTCCTCTCTGGTTTGTTTGAGACAGGGTCTTGCCTTAATGTCCAGGCTGGCCTTGAGCCCATGGTGATCCTCCTGCTTCAGGCCCCAGAGGACTGGAATTACAAGTATGTGTCACCGTGCCTGGCAGTGAGAAGTCTTGCTAATGTGTATTTCCTGGATATTCCTCAGCACCAGGCAGTAGTCTGCTCCGCTTGCTCCCAGAAAAGTCACAAGGCCTTATGGTATCAGTGATGAGCATGAGAGAAAACTAAGAAACCAAACCAAAACCTCACCAAAAATAACACAATAAAACCTCAGACCTCAGTGGAGAACAGACAATCCCACTTGAAGGTCTCACTACAGTAAGTATGCAACTAGGTTTATTTCTATGTGTGCTTGGGATGGGACCCAAGACCTCACAAACGCTACACAAGGGCTTTACCAGTGAGCGAGGCCTGCAATCAAATCTGTCATCCTCCTGTAGCCACCATCTCATTTCTACAGTGTCTACAGTGATGTCAACAATGAACTCTACCTTCCAGCCATATTTCTGGCTCAGGGGTCATCCCTGAGGCTCCTTTCCCAATCTCTGCACCAAGTCCAGGTAGATCTTTTGTCATAACCACCTCAACTCCGCCTTCCTTAATTAACCTTGATAAGAAATCTGTACCAAGTTTCTCCTGCATGTCAGGCTCCCTACCAGGTGCTGGGCTGTGCTAAACAAGACAGATACAGGCTTGGTGTCAGAGCCTACAGGGGAAGCCAGTAACCACATAAACAGCTATATAGACGGGAAAGGCACGTGGATGATGTACAAGTTCAGGAGAGTGCAGAATCTAACCAGCTGAGGAAGCCATGTTTAAGCCAAGCACTGGATGAACGCAAGTTTAGGCTCTACTAGGGAAGAAGAAAATTCCTGTGCAGCGTAGTCAGAGAAGCATCCAAGGATCAAACAATACATGTGGCATGAGCGGCTTCGTCCAACTCTTTCATTTAACTGTAAAGTGCACAGGAGCAAGAAGTCTGACTTAGTGTTCCTCTATTCCCTCAGCACCATGCGGGTAATGGGTATTCTCGGAGTGGCTGGTGGAGCTGCCTCGACGACGCCACAGCTTTACGTCTAGGAGGGAGGGGCCCATGCCATCTCACAAAACTCTGAGAAGACCAAAAGAGACGAGTGAGGCCGCTGAGTGGGGGTCAGTTCGCTCTCCTCCCCTTCCTTCATACACTTGCAGAGTAGAGACGACACTTGTTTCTTCCAGGCTGGTTAGGGCTGGCCACTTCGACAGTGGTCACCCAGGTGACCAAGGGGCTGGATCAAGGATCTGATGATGGATTCTGAGGTTACTACAGTTTGTGGCATCACTGTGAATTTGCTGACGGAGGGGCTACTAGAGAGGGTGATTACCACCGTCAGACTACTAGCAGCTGTCGTTTTACATGCTTACAATGAGTTATTTATCAGAAGCACTGTTACCTACAGTCATGGCTGCCACTCAGACTCCAGCCCCCTCAGCGAAGTGTCATTTGCTGAGCCACCGGTGGCGAGTGCGTGTAGAACTCATCTCCACCAAACTGCCAGTGCACCTTTGTGCCTTGCCTTTGTGTTTCAGGAAGTGTGTTTGGCAAGGCTCAGTCACTCATGGATACTGAGAGGTAGAGATGAAGTCTGGGCTTGGTTCTACACCTGTGTGTGTCCTACCGCTTCAACCTGTCCCCTTGAAGGAGGTGTTGAAGTATGCTCCACACAGAGAGTCTTCCCCATCCCAGGTAGTTTGTTTCTACCAGCTCTTCCCCACAAACAGCACGGGCTCTGTGACTGCCAACCTCTGCTGCCCACACCCACTCCCTCCTAGCCACCCACTCTCCATTCAGCAGCCTGACCTAGCTTTCAGCACACTTATCAGATGACGTCACAGCACTTCAGGGCCCCTGTTATCTGGCTCAGTTCTGCATATCACTCAGGAAGAGCTCAACCTTCTACACTTCCTCCAGCTTGAGAGCCTTTTTTGAGCCGTTCCCTTGACCAGCGTGTTCTTCCCTGTCGGGCTGTCTGTCGCTTTCCTCAGTCGGCGTCACCTTAAACATCGCCTCCTAGGACCACCCTCTCCGATCCCTTCAGACGTGCTCCAAACATTTCTGCATTTGCTACAGGCCTTATCTGATCGATCTCTCTCTCTCTCTCTCTCTCTCTCTCTCTCTAAGTAACTACTGGCCTTGCCTACCCTATTATACTTTGAATGAAAACGCATACTAGAGTATGTACTCTGTTTATTGCCTTCCATAAAATACAGATAGTACCTGAAACAGAATAATTCAGTATCTGATGATTATGAGATCTTCATTCATCCTCTCAACAAGCAGTGAAAATATAGAAAGAACAGGGCATTACTTAGTGCCTTTTATGAATAACAGGGACCATGCTTTATGTGATTATCAATCACAGCCACTTGCATAGATCCTACAAGCAGAGCTCACTAGACTTCCTGAATGAAGAAATGATGTGGTCTGTGTCTTATCACCTACTGGAATACATGTTGGGCAGGGCATGACGGCCCACACCTTTAATCCCAGCACTCAGGAGACAGAGGTAGGTGGAGGATCTCTGTGAGTTTGAGGTCAATCTGGTTTACATAGCTAGATCCAGGTCAGCTAGAGGTACACAATGAGATCTTGTCTAATATATGTGTGCAACACACACACACACACACACACACACACACACGCATGCGCGCACTGAGTCAGGCCCGATGGCCCATGCTTGTAATCCCAGCACCGGGGAGGGAGGATGAAGCAGGATTACCATGGGTTAAAGGCCAGCCTGAGCTACATTGTGAGACATTTTTCAACAAATTAACTACATAAAAGAAAAGAAATACATATACACTGTGAAGTATTAAAGAGGATGACTTGGCCTCCTCACAAATTTAGAGTTATTGAAGGTGAGGATACCCTCACACAGGTAGAAAGCTGCTTAATGACGGCCAATTATTAGGAGGGAGATCAGACATTCTTTAATGAAAAGAAAATGTTAATGTGTGTGAGTATTCTGCCTGCATGTCTGTCTGTTCACTGTGTGTAACCACTGCCATCATGCACAGCCGCTGCCACCGCACACTGAGGACCTGTTCTATCCCAGGTACCCAGTTCTGACACCTCCTTTAACGCTCATGATAACCCCAAATGTAGCCATTACCTCTTCCTTTTTACAGACTAGGAAACAAACACAGATTAAATAAATCCCCAAGTTTATATAGCTACTAAATGACAGAAAAGCATCCTGAGTGTTTATTTTTAGAACTCAAAAGTATGTTTTCCCATTATGCTCTGAGGCTGCGAAAGCCTTTAGGATGGCCTCGGTCATCATGTTTATCAACCATCTCTTTGGGTCAGTATTCCTTCCCTGAACCAGGCACAAATGCTAGCCATGAAAAAGTGACAAGGTTTTTTTGTTTGGAAGTGTGTTCTTGGGTACCATTTCAGTCTTGAAGCAGTAATTCCACTCAGTGATAGTGTAATTAGTTGTGATTGACATCAATTAGTTTACTGAATCACAAAGAGATGCCCAGTGCTTGAGTTCTGACTAGGAGCGAGGTACTAATAATGTTCTAGTCACAGCTCTATTTTCCAAAGGGCAAAGCAATTTATCTTTAAAAAAAAAAAGAAAAAAAGAAACAAAAATGTCAGTGGGTAGTGAGTTCCTTTTAGGGGTGATTAAAATATTCTAAAATTAGATTATGGTGATGATTGTACAATTCTGTGAACATGTTAGACTGTTAAACTCTAGACTTTAGTGCACAGATTTTATGGTATGTGAATTATATCATAATAAAGACGTTTTTAAAATGGCACATGAGAGATTTGATTGCTCAAGTTTTAATTATCTAAAGAGACGCTAATAGGAAAAAAAAGTAACCATTTTAACATTTTATGTTTCTTCTGTATTTACCCTAAATGTCTGTTTGCTCAATCACTATTATTATTATTACAGCATATAAAAAGAAGTAAATCCAAAGTTTATGCAAATCTTAGAAACATCTAGATAGACATGAACAATCAAGCAATGATCACACATTCAGTAAGACATTAGTCACAGGCCTCCTTCAAGTCTCAGGGACAGAAGCAGGCTGGGGATTAATGGCACTTCACAGAACACTTTTTAGGACTCCACTCAATTTCAGAGCAGAAGTTACAAGACCTCCCACGAGACATAGAAGGAAGCTTTACCTCGTCACAAGAAACCAAGCCAGTTTACTGAAGTCTGATGAGAGCCTCATGTACGTCTTAATATGTGGCATGGCGTTGCTTCGGCCAGAAGTCTCTGCTGACCACTTGCTAGTGATAGGAGAGACGTAAACCACCAATTAGAAAAAAACTCAAGACCAACAAAATTCTCATGCTAGGGAACTGCACAAAAAGCAACATCCTATCTAAAAAGACAGTAGATGCGTGACCTGTGGTGGCTGATGACACTGTTCAGAACACACAATCATTCTGAAAAGGAAGGAGGTCAAAAAAGGAAATTTAGCACAAGCCACAAAAGTATCTAACCCCATGGACGTGGGGCTTCTTGTCCTTTGACATACGAGTACACACGCATGTGTGCACACATAGGTACACACAAGCATGCACACGCGCACTACACTGACTTCATTGTGCTTTTCTGCACATGTGTACACAGGTCTCTGGCTGAACTGTGAGCTCTTTGAAGCAGGAGGCTTGCAGTGCCTTATAGTGCACACTACTGAGTAGCAGCTCCCACAGAAGCTTCCCCAAAGAAGCAGAGTGAGCAGAATACAGCATATCCCAGGCGAGTGCTAAAAGGCAGGAGCTAACTCAGAAATGCTTTAGTTTGGCTTTGAGTATCACTCTCACATTTCCAACACTTTAGGACTAGGGTTCCAAGGCCTGATGGCCTCCGTCATGAGGCGGTGACTCTGGCTTGGAAGGGGATAATCCCTGAAGCTAACAGGCAGTGTGCCAGCATGGAATCAGGATTAAGAGGGCCACCATTTTCTTCATCCCAGTGAACCTAAGAATCGGAAACCGAAAGGAGCCCAAGCATAGACGTGCTCTGTAAGGAACAACTCTCCACCTGGAGCGAATACCACGGAAATGCCGCTGGCCAACAGGAATTTCAGCAGAAAGCTACGGAAATGGACTCCCTCCCTCATTTCTGGCTGCCCAGCTGCAAAGCCACTACTGAAGTGAGTAAGACACTGGGGTTGGTCTAGAACATTCGGGACGGGCAAGTGCTGGAACTGGAAGAGGAAAGGATAAGCCTCTCTTTCCCTTCCCACCCATCACCGGTTTCCTGAGCTCTGCTGGCATACCAAACCCTGTCTTTATCCTGGAGACACAGGCACGGACCTTCCCCTTGGCAAGTGTGGCGTGTGGTCTACATACTAGAGTCAGGATGGTTATACTTCATGCTTCGGCAAAGTGAACTAAACACTGCTTATGTAAACCATAAACTACCCAACAGGATCTCTTATTTATCGTTTTCTCTGCCTGACAATATTTAAATAGAAACCTCACAGAGATAAATCTTACTCTGGTATTAAAAACCTATTCCAAAATTTTTTTAAAACCTTGTTTTAAATTATTTCTATCACTAACATATGTAGATGAAAGAATATAGCTGTATTATATAAGGTACTTTTTTAAAGAACAGACTGATACAACATTTTTGGTCCTAATGAAGTAAGAGCAGCATTGAGAACCAATTACTTACTGAAAGTAGGAATGCAGCCAATTCTGTTTTTCAGCTGTCTGGATGCCATAGGGAAGAGAGCCCCCAGCTTTTAAAAGAAGGAAAAGAAAACAAATAAAAATAATGAAATATAACTTGAGGCGTCTTCATTAAGAAGAAAATCTCTATAAACAGTGAGAGGGTAGATGATACACAACTGCTTCCATTACTTCATCTCAAGTAAGTTTATTGAAAGAAAATATCCATGCTTACATCAGGCACGCCCTCTCTCTGTCTCTCCCTGTCTGTGTGTCTGTCTTGGTAATGAGGACTGGACCTAGGGACTCACACAGGCCAGGCAAGGGCCCCACCACTGAGTTATATCCCCGGCACTTTTTACTTTTTATTTATGGTCTCACAAAATTGCCTAGGCTGGCCTTGAATTTGTGACCCTCCTGCCTCAGCCTCCAGAGTAGTTGACATCAAAGATCTACACTATTGGAACTCAAATTAGGTACATTCTCTTCATGGGCTTCCTTTCTCTGGGAGAAGAGACATGTAAACAGTTTACTATCTGAAAAGAAAAGGTATTACTTAATTACTCAGTGGGGATGATATCTGCACAGACTTGAAGTGTTAGAAAAGACCACAGGGAGAACCTGGGCCTGTTTTACCACCATAGGGAGGTATGAAACACATCACTAAGTTTTTGTCCTAGGCAGGACATCCAGGAAGGTAGTGAGTGACAAAACCCAGTCCTGCCTATTTTGCCTTTACACTCTGTCATTTCCAAACAGACAGGCAGAGGAGGTTCTCATAGACTGGAAGATATGAAAATATGCAGCAAACACTTGTGCCTTTTTTTTTTCAGTAAGAAAAATCCATTGCAGATCCATCAATGACTTTCCAAACACACCTTGGAACTTCATCACAGTAATCTATGTGTAGAGAGGGCTTTGGACAACTCCAGGGTCCAATAAGATATGTCCTGTCTCCTACTTCAAATAGCTAAAAACATTCCATTGTAGAACCACTTATAAAGTTGCTTCATTGAGAATGCCACATTCTCCCCCATTAAAAGTGCACTTGAATAGCTCTAGGCTATTAGAAGTACAGAAAGAAAAACTACCTGTGTTCCAGAGTCAAAGTGAAGTAATTTTATTTTATTATTAAAAAGCAACAAATGGCAAATATACTCTGAGCTTTATTGAGATTCTTTTGGCAAGGTCACATCTAATTTCATAAGCAATAAATGGGCAAAATTAGTTTTAATTTAGTGCATTCTGCTACCAGCAGGCCGTGAATGCCAATCAGACTTAGTTTCTCCCAGAGGCATGTTCTCTGGGGCTTTTGTTAATAACCTGGTAGCATTATAGAGGATGTTCTGTTTAAAAGCTCAGTGCTCAGTAGTGGAAAACAGAAGAAGGAAGTTGAAGGTTTTTTTTTTTTTTTTTAGAAAATAAGACTAGGTGTTTGCAGGTGAAGCCCCTGAAAAATGACGTGTCAACTAAGGTACACAAAAGGTAATCATCATCACTAGCTCTAGGCCTTAACTGTATCTGTATCTGGGATGTAAATTTGGAAGGACTGTGGAACCTCCGACACCGGCAGAGAAGGATGTTAGCCAAGCTGTCAAGGCAGCAGTGAGTGCCAGGGAGCTCACTGTAGGCGGACACCTTGTCTCGACAATCAACACGCTGGATTATTAGTGAAACTGAGGAAAGCCACACTGCACGGAGTGCCTAAACTGCCCTTCTCTGGAACACCGCAGAGCTCAACCACACCTGTTTCATCAGCTCTATCTGGATAAGGGAAAACCATTTCTCCATTTCTAACCAATTCTGATGAAAAACAAAACATAACATAACAAAACAAAACATGCCCCAACGCATTTCGGGAATATATAGAGAAACCACAACTGTGTTACCAGGATATCCTTCTAAGCTGGTCCGCACATTTTCCACAGAAGGATAGATCTAAAAATAAGCAAGAAAAGATAAAAATCAATAAAGCTTGGCATGAATCATGTTGAAAGGGATGTTGACTAGTTTTTAAGAAAATGGAAATGTTAATAAAAAAAATGTTTAACTAAAAAACTTAGAGAGAAATTATATTCTTAAAAGAAAATCCCCATCTTGCTGGAAAATAACTGGTAATAACTAATCTACAAGAAGCATGTATATAACTGATGAAAAATTACACATTAATTTAAATGTTTTCTCCCCTGAAATGCCAAATTAATATTAAGTTGAATATAAAATTAATCATTAATTCACAGGTCTCTATATAATGAACAGAGCTTTAATTCTTCTGCAGTGATATATCTGGTATTTCTTCACTTGGCTTGACAACTTGAAAGAAGAATGGAGACAACATGGCAAATCTGTGGCTGTACCAAGGCTCCTGAACATACCAGAAGCCCTGGGTGGCACCAGGACCGCAAATGAAGAGTGTCCTCTCCCCACCCCACAGAGTAAAGCGCTATTATAAGGAAGGCCATTTCTTAACTCTTCTGGACTACAGATTAGGAAGTCGGAGAGCAAGAGGGCTCACCAGATGAAGAGGAACTGTACTTTTTCCTGGAGTTCTGCCGTCCTCTCCCAGTGCCAGCAAGCTCTCTTTAAACTCTGAGCACAGCCACTTGGACTCATCAGGCCCCAGGGAACCAATGCTTGAAAACTGACCCACAATGGGCCAGCACTCGCCTTTAGGTACAGATGGGGCATGCATCCGCAGAAGCTGTTCCGAAATAAAAAATGAATGCAACAGTCACAGGAGTAACAACAGTATCTGAAATGCCCTAATGCTAACAACATGGACTGTATCTCTGGAATACCTAATTTACAAGGAAACTCTGAGAACATCATGCTCATAGATACTTGCTTCTTTGGGAACTATTTAAATACTAAAAGTATGTGTCCCCTGCCCACCACATTATGCTGTGGTATTGAAATGTAATTGGCCCCCATAACCTCAGAGGGAGTGGCACTATTAGGAGGTGTGGCTTTGTTGGAGTGGGTATAGCCTTGCTGGAGGAAGTGTGTCACTGTGGGGGTGGGCTTTGAGGTTTCCTATGCCCAGTGTTTCAATTGACTTCCTGTTGCCTGCAAGATGTTCTACTCTCTGTATGCCTCCATGCTCTCTACCATGATGATAACGGACCAAACCTCTGAAACTATGTCACCCCAATTAAATGTTTTACTTTACAAGAGTTGCCATGGTCATGGTGTCTCTTCACAGCAATAGAAACCCTAACTAAGACATATGTGGACAGGAAGTTTCTTCCAAAATTCTTTGATTTGCATTAAAAACAAAAGCAAAATAAAACATTTTCAAAGACCCATCTTAGCAGAAATATCAAGATAAACTCACCCTGAAACCGCAATTGTCTAATATATCTAAACTAAACTGACATGATTAAACCATTGTACATTCCAGTCTGCTGCCTTTGAAAAGAGCTTCTAGCTCTCACCTTTACACTGTGCTCCATCCAGGGCTGGGGTGCCACTGCACAGGAACCAGCCTAGCATACGCAAGGGCCTGAGGGGCCTGGGGGTGGGAGCACAGACAAAGTCCTTGGCCTCCAGTGTGGCTGTCCGATATGAAAGGGATATTTACAGATGGATACGAACCACCTAAAGCACTGAGGAAGACTGATCTGCATTTCCTGCCTTGACACTTATGCAAACTTGAAGGAATACCTGGGCAAGTATTTGGAAATTTTATCCAATATGTACTACCTAGAGGCAGCAGACAGCAAGAAAAATGCGGCCAGCTCCTGCCCCAGTGGAACTCATATTCTGACTGATGTTTTGTTTAATATGTATTGCCTTCCCTTCCACAGCTCAGGTATTAATATTTACATACACACACACACACACACACACACACACACACACACACACACACACTCACACACACATCCCCCCTCAGTTTCCATGTGCTGCAGCATGCTGTAGGAAACAGAACTGAACCGACAGCTCTCAGATTCACTCTCTACCGTGGGCTTAGCTCCAGAGCAGCACACGGAAAAAAGCCCTGCTCGACTCCTGTCTCCGTGTATACATTCTAATCTGCCTGCTTGCCCTGGAACCAAGCTATGACGCAGCATGAGCTGGATGAGAAGTGGCTTGAAAAACGCAGATGCTGATCAACCTGCAGCATTTGTGATCACACACATGCATTCACTCTATTGCCTAGGCTGGACACCAAGTCCCAGGCCACAAGTTCTCCTGCTTACAGAACACTCTATTTTTTACATTCACTACTTGACACAAATCTGTCCATTTTACAGCTGACAAAAGGCAGGCCGAGGAACAAGTCAAGACCACAAAGCTTGTCTATCACAGGTTGGCATTTGGACCTAGGAACAGATATCCATCATAAACGAAAAGCAAGAAAGAAGGCACATCATATTATTTTAAATGTTAAAATAATAAAAGTTTTATTACCTTCCTAAGCCTAAAATGTCCCCAGTTATCTTTGTGACTTCCTTGAAAGCGTCCAGGGGTTGAGCCAATAAGGTAAACACTAAATAAAGTAAAATACAATAAAGTAATATGCAAGTTGTGCTGTGACACCCCAAACCCACAGAATACACATAAAAACTAATGTAACACAAGAGTTCAAGGAGCTAATTCATTCCATGGCCATGCTTCCTTAATAGTAACTGCTGTTCTGAAGTTCATTTTTAGCTAAAGCAGTTAATAGCAGGATATCTGCATAAAGGTACCAGGTAAGGAACTCAGGAATTCTACAATCACCCCCGTGGGAGGCTTAAGACCCACTACCACCTTGATATCCATGAACCATGAGATGTGGAGTGACCAACTCTGCTCTCATCCACTCACCCTCTCATGCAGCACAGTCAAATACCACTCCACTCCTTCCCAAGGCCCTGCCTTCCAGACTTGTGTGGCTCGCCACTCAGGAGTACCTTTTCAGCCTCCCATATTGGTAAGGGGACACGTACTTGGTTTCAGAGAGATCATGCTCTTGGATGGTGTCTATCCACTCCTGGAGAGAAGGATCATTGTACGCCGTCAAATAACTGATGAGGTCAGCTTTAAAATGGGTGCTTGACTCTCCAGATGTGTGGTTTCCCTGGTCAACTCGTGGGTATAAAGGGCTCAACCATATTCTAGAATGGAAGAAAATAACTTTTAACATACAGGAGCTCACACCATAACAATACAGTCACCTGAAGCAAGAGGTGAATTTTTGTCACTGTCTTCATGGGGTTGGTGACTGAGGCATTTTCTGCAGGAGGAAAACAGATCCAATCACATTGATCCAAGGACTCCCCATCAAAATATTATTTCTGAATGCTATCTCTTTATGTAAAATCATGTCCTTAGTGTAGCTTTTTAGCCAAATTAAGAATGAAAAGCTATCTACACCAAGAAAAAATGTATATGCAAGTTTATTTTCAGTAAGAAAATTCTTTTTTTTTTTTTTTATAATGTACACTCTGTAGTGGTTTGAGATATTTTCATATCCTATACTTTCTGGTGTCTAGAATGAGCACATTAGCCTCAAACAGCTAAGTACTCAACAGTGATAAAACATTAGACAACTTTGATTTCATCAATTCCTTTCCCCCAAAACAATGCATTTGCCCCCCTCCCTTTTTTTTGTTTTTTTGAGACAGGGTTTCTCTATGTAACAGCCCTGGGTATCCTGGAACTCACTTTGTAGACCAGGCTGGCCTTGAACTCACAGAGATTTGCCTGCCTCTGCCTCCTGAGTGCTGGGATTACAGTTGTGTGCCATCACACGTGCTGTGCATTTGCCCTAACTTCTACAACATGCCTACACAGGGAAAATAACCACATCGAAACTCAACAGACACAATACAATATGATATAGGTAGATTACAAAAACAGTGTGGCTTTCAGCCTCTAGGACTAGATACTCTTCTAGGGCAAACCCAGACGAAGAGTTCTGCCCCAAAGGGCTGTTGCAAGGAGTCCTAAGAGGCAATGGTTAGGTCAGACCCCAGCCCGTATTTAGATCGCTGTCTTTTCCTTCTGTGTCTGTTTCCCCTGTAGTTCTCCTACAAACCCAAACAGAAATGGCCCAATTCCTCTTTCACACAGCTGCTCCCCAAGGAAGCCTGGTAGGCTACAGGCTACCAAGATGGGAAGCAGGCTGGGTGAGAGCTCCTGAATGTATGTCTGCTCAATGCCTTCCCAGCAGAGTGACCTTTCATTCACTCCCTGCTTACCTCAGGGGGGACTTAGCATAAGAAGGACAGGGCTGACTAAGGCTGGAGCCCACATCTGGACCACATCTGCTTCTCACTGGCTTTGCCATTGTAGGCAGTTCCTATGACTTCTCTGGGGCTTTCTTTGCCTTTGGGTATAAAGTGACCAGTTAGGCTAGACAGATGTGTGAGGTAGCCTTGTACCGTTATCTCTGAGCAAGAGGTTCACCAATAGGCATGTGACAGATGAGGACCATGGGAGTAAATAACTTTCTAAACTAGGATACTGAGAAAGGAGGTATTCTTAATACTTTGTGAAATATTATGAGAACACTATGGTGGGAAAAAAGAATTTGGAATTTCCATTTATTTGTTTACATGTGTATGTGCCCAAGTACAGGGGTGTGTGCCACATGGCTGCAGGTGCCCACAGAAGCCAGAAGAGGGCATTGGATCCCTTGGAGCTGGAGTTACAGTTGTGAGAGACCTGATGTGGCTGCTGGGAATTAACATGGATCTTCTACAAGAGCAGCAAGTGCTCTTAACTACTGAGCCAACTCTCCGCTGTAGGATATCTTTCTGTATGCTGTGAATATGTGTTGCTCTGACTGGTTGATAAATAAAGCTGTATTGGCCTATGGCAAGGCAACTTAGAGGCAGACAGGAAATTCAAGCAGATAGAAAGAAGAGAGGAGAGAGAGGAAGGAGATGCCAGCCGCTGCCGGGAGAAGCAAGATGTGAAAGTATTGGTAAGCCAGAGCCACGTGGCTACTTATAGATTAATAGAAACGGGTTAGTTATAGGAGCTAGCTAGCAAGAAGCCTGAGCCATTAGGCCATACAGTTTGTAAATAATATTAAGCCTCTGAGTGATTATTTTATAAGAAGCTGCGGGACTGCGGGTAAGAGAGATTTGTCCTGACCGCAGGCCAGGCAGGACACAGGAAAACATCCAGCTATACCTCTCGAACCCAACAAATGATTTGAATTGTAAGACCTGTTCCAGCAACAGCTGAGAAGGACAGCTGGAACATCTGCATAGCAGGGGGTACACACGGCCAGAGCAGACAGACTATCAACAAGGGAAGACAGTGAAAAGTTCCTTTAAAGGTTTTTGGCTTTAAAAGGATTTTTAGATTGTATTTGTATGAACGTTTGTGTTATGTGCACCGTGTGTGTGCAGGGGCCTGCAAAGGTCAGAGGAGGGTGTTGGAGCCCCTGGAACTGGAGAAAGAACCCAGATGGTTGTGAATCATTGTGTGGGAACTGGGAACCAACCTAGGTCCTCCATGAGAAGAGTGAATGGCAAGTGCTCTTAGTACGCCTTTGAGTTTTCTGCTGCTGTTATTTATTTGTTTTTTAGTCACAACATGGAACTGCAGCGTATCAGAGAGATTCAAGAGCAGACAAAGCAGAGGGTGACAGGGCTCTGAACTAGGGTGGCTGGTGGAAGCAAGCCAAAGGGACAGTTCCTATCTTCTTGCTTTGAGTCTGACCTGTATGAACTATACAACCTAGTTAATGTTTTTAGATTTCTTTTTTAAAAGAAAAGAACAAAAGGCCGGGCAGTGATGGTTCACGCCTTTAATCCCAGCACTCAGGAGGCAGAGGCAGGTGGATCTCTGTGAGTTCAAAGCCACCCTGGTCTACAGAATGAGTTCCGGGACAGTCAAAGCTACACAGAAAAACCTTGTCTTGAAAAACAAAAACAAAAAAAGAAAGGAATAAAAGTACCAGCCACACCCCTACTTTTCATGCCCTCTCTCATGACAATCGCTTGAGAAGCCTCAGGAAGAACTGTTGCCCATAAGTTCAAGTTCACAATTCCAGAATCAACTAGAGGCACTGGTGGGGTTCTGAGAGCCACCTAAGACTGGGAGCCACCTTCATAAATCTGTTTAGTTTCATAATCGGTTTCCCTAAGAACAAGCTTATCCAAACCTCTCTCCCTTTTCTGATGGGGCTGTCTATGCATCCCCAGGCCCGGAGTGGACAAAGTACTCAGCAGATCAAGACAGTCCTGTTAGCTAGCACTTGGAAGGCAAAACAGGAAGCTTAAGAGTTCAAGGCCAGCTTGGGCTACATAGTGATTTGTTTTCCCAGCCAGCAAGAGTTACATAAAAGATTCTCTCTAAAATAAAATAAAAGGTGTGTGTGTGTGTGTGTGTGTGTGTGTGTGTGTGTGTGTGTTGTGGGAAGGAGGGGATGACGGAGAAGAGCAAGTCCTGTGACTAAGGCTTTTTAGACAGGGCAGAGACCCCTGACCCTGCAGGAGGTAGAATAACACTACTCTGAGAAGCACAGTTTAAGAGGAACACGAGAAACTCCGAGCCCACACTAAGGTCAAAGCAGGCCCAGAGGATGAGCTGGAGGCTCCTTATTTCAGCTCATCCCATGGGTCACTGAGGCTTAGGAAAGCTGGTCAGAGGGAGCACTATCTAAAGTAGCTCTAGCCCAGGCTAGACAACAACACTGGAGATGGGGGGTGGGGGGAGGCAGCAGCAAAGCATCCTGGGATCCTGAAATGAGTTATACAAATGCCTGTATTGTCTTCAGACAGAGAAGGCTATTAGCCAGCTCTCTCCCAGGAAGGCAGGGATGTACAAGAAGGACTTCAGTGAAGAAAAGGAATTAAAGTTATTCACCAAGGAGGAAAGAAGTAGCTGAACTTGAGTTGAACACAAAAATTCCTCTTAAAGACAAACTCTTGGGCTGGAGAGATGGCACAATGGTTAAAGAACTTGTCCAAGTGAGGGTCGGAGTTTGGATCTTCAGAATCCATGTAACACTGGCATGGTAACTCACCCATAATCCCAGTGCTCCTGTAGCAAGATGGGAGGTAGGGACAAGAGAATCCCAAGAAGCTTGGGCCAGCTAGCCTGGTGGACACAGCAGCAAGAGACCCACCCTGTCTCTAACAAGGCTGACGTGGAGGACTGAGACACTCTAGGTTGTCATCCGATCTCCACGTCTGTGTGGTGGCACACATGTGCCCACACTCACGCACAAACATGCACACAGTGATTACACAGAACAAAACAAAACCCGCCTCTCTACCTGCCCTCCCACACCAGTAGATGGTCCTACTCCCATGGACAAAGGTGGCACTGAGTGACACATGGAGTTGACAGGGAAGGTGGCCGGAGAACACAGGGGAGGAACTAAGGGGAAGATCTGATTAGAAAATGTATGTGCATGTGAGAAACTCTCAAAGAGTAAAAAAAAATATTATAATAAATAAATACATTTTGCAAACCACTTGCATGTAAATATTCCTGTACACCAGTGATAGTCATAGACGGTTCTGCACCAAGCTGTTAACACCAGCTACCTTGAGAGAGTGGGATGGAGGCCGGGAGTAGTAGAGGATTGTGGGGATGGAGGTGTGGATTGGGGAGAGCACTTGCTTTGCACTGCAGAAGAAAATACCACGACCATTGCTGGCATGCCTCTTTTCTATGCACATGCCTGCTACTTACACAAGCAGAAAAGCAGAAAGAAAAAGGAACGCAGCTATCATCTGCCTGTGCCCTTTCCCAGCATAAAGGACTGCCATGCGCTGCATGGCCCTACCAACCCTTGGGTTTTCTGGTGCCAGTCTTCCCGGATGAGGTTGGAGGTGTGGATGACGACTCGGAGGCCTTCTTCATAGAGCAAGAGCATCATTTTCCTTCAAAGAGAGGAAGGTGAACAAAAGCATGAGCAGAATTTTCCAAATAAACAGGTTTCTAATAAAAATGCAAGAAACATTAACTTCTTATATTACCCAAACTTTTAATTATTATAAACTCCCCTTCTACAGAGCACCATCCTCCAAAAAGGATCAGAATATCTGGGGGTCACAGGTCCCTTAGTATCCATGGCTATCATTTCACTACGATGGACCACAGGGCCATGCCTCATGTAGGGCATCCTACAAGGAAGGTAGGAACAGAACCTCCCGCTATGTAACAGGCTAGCGTGCTTCCAACAACTGAAGCACACATGGCCCAGGTTTAAGGGATCAGTTCAGGAAGCCTGTTTCAGGCCGCGACTGCGTGCACACACATGCAGTATACTGAAAACATAGAATGTCTTTCTTACTAATGGTTGCAGTTTGAAGAACGTGAGATGCCCTGTCCTGATCAGACATGTAGTCCATGTGTCATATTCGTCACCATTGTGAATCTGGGCTTGAAGTAAGATTTCTCTTTTCCTCCATGAACTCAAGTGAGACTGGACTGAGCCCCCTCTTCCCACTGGGGCTTCTTGCATCACTAAGCATCGTTTTCTTAACTTTACTTCCAGTGAGAGAGGAAAGAAGATATATACAAGAGCTCTCAGTGTGAAGTCGAGAGACCAGAGTCTGCCCTTGAGAAGCCACAAGAGCTTTAGTAAACCATTTAGTCTGCCTGAGCCGCCTCTTTCCAAGTGGGTCATGAAGCATCAACCCCAACTTGGGGCTGATGATGACAAAAATCAGCGTCCACAATGTAAAGGTTAAAGAGTCACTTGGGCATTCGTTTCCGCTCGGTGCCCCGCTTTATCTTGTGACTTAGTGCTGGGTGACTTTTATCTCCAATTGTTTCCAGTTATTAAGGGACTGAAGTCTCCTCTCCAGAACGACATTGTCATTTCTCAAGACTGTAATGCTTGGCTTGGCTTATTTTATCACTTCTGCTGAGGCCAAATGCTACTTATCACTCACCTATATAACTCAGTGGACACATGTGACAATGGGCCTCTGTTTCTCCCCAGATGAACCACCCCATGAGCGGAGGCTGGGCTGGAGGAGGTATGGAGGAGAAGGAAAAGGCTAGGCGTGGGGCACGTGCCTGTAACTCTAGCAACTTGGGAGGCTGAGGCAGGATTGCACCCATGAGTTCAGGGCTAGGCTGGCAGATTTCAGTCTACCTTGTGTGACTGTGCTCTGGTGTGACTAAGGTCCTGCCTCTTGTAAATAAATAAATAAATAAATAAATAAATAAATAAATAAATAAGGGAAAAAACAAGACCAGAAAAGAGAATGAGATAGTTAGTTCTTGCCAAAAGGAGAAAGTAATTCAAGCTGGCAGACAATAAATTAATGCAAGGCTCGAGAAATGACAGCTGCTGAGCTATCTTCTCTGTAGTTATGAAACACGGTCCCTGAAATCTGGGCAAATTGACACACACAGTTGCCACATTAGCAGCTGATTATAATTAAGGATAAGCCAGCTAGGGATTCATGATAGAAGCTTTACAAATATTTCCATTAATCAAGGCATCAATTACAAGGAAATCATGTATCGAAGTCAGTGAATCCTATCAAACAGAATTAAGAATTAATTTAAGGGGAGACATATTAATCTTTTCATAGACAAGAGTACGTGTGTTAATAAGGTCACAGTTAAAAATATAGGAAGATAAGGAATGGAGTCTCCCCCAAAAAAGGTGGACCCACAGTACTGTCCCTAAGCAGTAGGGTGGCAAACAGACCCACAGCACTGTCCCTAAACAGTGGGGGCTTCTTCCTAAATGTGAAGGTGTGCTATGGAGAAGCAAGGAAATGCATGTTGGGTACCTCCACGCCCGACACTGTTTCTGGATGCCCTAGCATGTGTCAAGACAATCCCAAGAAGAAGAAATTCTCACTTTACAAGTGCAGAATTGGCGACTGGAGGAAAATGGAATATTATCTAGATCACCAAACGAGCCTGTAGAGGATGGCTGAACTCACATGTGCCCATAAGCCAGGGCACTGTGTGGGGAGCACAAGGCTAGAGGTGGGATGGTGAACATTTTATGCTACTAGAAAATGAGTGGGAGATGCGGTCTCGGAGAGAAAAGGGCCAGCTGGAGAGCCCCAGCAGGCTGTGGCTGGCCCCTGCTTAGAGGAGGACATTGTTCACTCAGCTGCTCTGGCTGTGTTTCTCCCTATTCATTCTTAGAGCCATTGGTGGTAACCATGCCCAACTTTGGGGAAAACCAAAGAGCTTTCCCATTTTCAAGCACCAAGTAATACACCGTGCCTGGGATTGCTGTGTGCCCTATGTGCTCTGCACAAGGTACCTGGTCAGGGCATGCTTGCTCGGGTGTGTGGCACCCCAGGGACTGTGTCAGTCACTGCTGTTAGCTCCAGGCTAGGAAGACAGTTTTTATTTCATCACCAAAAGCTGGAGTTTTCTCCTTTTTCTACCAAACATGTTATGGTTTGTGCTCTCACCAAAAGATGAACAGCTATGAGGAGAAAAATAACATCCTCCAGATTTGAGACTCAATAGCATTCCAGGTATTGATGGATAATTTTAGTCCTCTTTTGGTGAGATGGGGATCTCGTGTAGACTCCTGATCCCCTGTCTCAGCCTCCCAAGAGCTGGGATTACAGGCATGTGTGTGCTGTCTCCCTGGATGAACAATTCCCAAAATAATAAACAACCAAAATTTCCAGACATAAGTTCAATCCTTCACAAGATACTGACATCTCAGCAAAATGTGAACTGTGGATACTCTCTAGCTGGGAACGGCTCTACTCCAGTAGCTTCTCTGAATTAGGAACTATTGGATTTAACCTGCAGATTGTGCATGTGTGAGCTGCTATAAGGAACAAGGGATGAATGAAGCAAAGGAAATAATGAAGTCAATTGTAGCCATGAGCAAACAAGACAGATTAAAAACTAAAGCTAAAAGTGAGTTCTGTTTCTGTTTTCATCCCCAAGGAAAATCAACTCATTTATTCTAGGTCTTAGTTTTCCGGTCTATGGTATTAACAGGACCAAACAATTCTGACATTTTAAACAAAGGACAGTTTCCCTGTACTCCCTCCCTGCTCCAATCACAGTGAAGCATCGCCCTGCCAGCTTTGGAGCAGGCATCTGAACCCTCAAGTCCCTCCCAGGAGTGACACCACAACCGACCAATGATGGCACAAGATCGCCCACTGCTTGCTGGTCCAGAGATACGCTGGGGCTTTTCTCTTGTAAAGCTCATTACACAGTGCCGACCACATGGTCAGCATAGAAATCTGGCACTGGTGGTCTAACAAATCATGCCAGAGCCCACATGGTGACAGGGCCGGCGGAAGGCTTTCTAGAACCAAAGATATAATTATCCCAGGGTTTCAGCTAAGGGTGGGAGACAAGGACTTCCTGCCTGCATTATGGCTCAGCTGCCCCCATTGATGGCAATCTGTATTCTGAGCTGAAATTGGCATCCTGTGAGCTCAGCGCTAGCAAATGAGTATTTTATGCATGAGTCAGGCCTGAGTTCACTCTCAGTCCTCAAACTCTGTCCCCTAGTGGACAGAAGCTTCCAGTTAGGGGTAGTCAGTCTGTCGATGAGACCGTATGTATCTACTCAGGGCACTAAAGTCAGAGGGTCGGCCTACAGCTTCATGGAGAGGCTTAGCTGCTTCTACTCTGGCTCCTTTTTACACCGGATTGGCAAAAACAACTGTTTCATGCACACAAAGAGAAAGGCAGCCACAGTACTGTCATCTGAGGTCACTGCTTCAGCAGGAAGCAGAGTCATAGGCAGGCAGATGGCTTCCTACCTGGGGGCAGCCAGCCCCACACTCCCACCACTGGCTTAAAAGACAGAAGAGCCTTTGTCCCAGTCTGCTGAAAAATCCTTCCCAGAGAAACGCGATTTAGAAAAATATTAAAATAAGGACAGCCATGTTTTGTTTTGTTTGTCCAACTTGTAAAGCCACAGTGCTCTGAAAAAGGACTCAGTGGAACTGCTGTAAAGGGAAGTTAAGAAAGATGGAGCACGCTGTCATCCGGCACAACGTGTCAGCTAGGAGGGAGCTGGCCAGGATTGCCTGTCTGCCACTTACAGCTCGGGAGCTCCCTTGAGCTGGGACAGGCCTTGCCAACTGGCAACTTCTGGTAAAATTAGTTTTCTTTAATCAGAGTAGGGGACTAATAATGGACTATTCAATATAACTTATGCTTGCCAAATCACAGAACTTTTGAGAAGCAGGGACGCCACAGAAAGAATCATCTGTGACCACAAGGACCATGCTTGCAGTTCTGTGCTTCCAAGCAGCCACACCAGATGCCCCGAGCAAAAGGCAGAGACCCTGAGTCACAGATTCACGCTTCCATGCCGACGAGCTGAATCCTGGTATCGAGTTGCTCATATCCTTTGGCCAATTAAAATCACACCTTCCCCATTTCGTAATAGTTGCTTACGTGTGGTGTGTTCCAAATGCAATATCCAATTTTGCCTAGGACAGAAAAGAAATAATTTATTTTAAAAGTCTCACTTAATATGTACTATTCCTAGATACTGGAAATTAAAAAGAGGGGACTATGCCAACTTAAAAAAAAAAACAAAACTGTTTTACTGCCCTCTATTGGACAAACAGAAGACAGCTCCCTCCCCCCCCCCCCCCCCACACTTGTGGTTTTTTGAAACCCCATTTCTCTGTATAACTCTGGCTGTATTGGAACTCAGTCTGTAGACCAGGCTGGCCTTGAACTCAAAGATCCTCCTGCCTCTGTCTCCTGAGTGCTGGGATGTGCCACCACCACCTGGCAGAAGACAGCTTTTATTATAGCACTCACTAAGGCTCATTTAAAATGCTGGTTTTTTTTTTTTTTTGTTATCCAAAACGATTTAATACATACTCCATTTTTAATTACAGTAATTATGAGTGAGAAGCCTAATTTCTTTATTTGCCAAAAGCCTAATAAAATAAATGTGATTCTAAACAAAGTTTTAAATGAGGTATTTTGTCTCTACTGAAAAAGGTGAACAAAGTTTTAAGAACACTTATTAAAATAGCATCGAATGTGGTGGCGACATAAAGACATCATGATGTTAAATGAAAAGAGACTATTTCATACGAAGGCAGCAGAAGCTGGAAGCAAATGGTGTGAAGCCCACCCTGCACTCCAGAATGACATCTGTACACGTAAGCGAGAGGAAAACATTTTATCTAACATCTAGCACAGCAAGACGCTGGTCAAGCAGAATATGCCAGAAAGAACAGTTATGGAATAAACAACCATCTGAGTGATCAGTTTAGGAATGCACTACCTGGGCTCGAATCCTGCCTCACAGTTTACCTGATTCAGGGAAAAACTTACATTCTCTGCTTTTGCCTCTTTAAAATAGGCATGGGACTTAGAGTTGCTGGGGGAGGATGAGGCCTGGTTGTTGTAAGCGATGCAGACATGTGGACATTCACAGTGCCCTCTCCCCACCACACGATGGAAGGGCTGGCTGGTAGGGGCAGAAACGGACAAGTGGAATACCCAAGTAGGTAGTACACAGTTTGCAGGTGCTCCTGACAGGTCCGTGCAGCTTGGGGGATATGGGTAGACCAGCATGCACTTGTGCTTTTTGGCCAGAGAAGAAAGCTATGAACTGTACTTCATGTCTTTAAAATTACAAAATCACTTTATCGGCTGATTTTTAACTGAAAAGAACAGTGGTTAAGAGAACTGGCTTCTAAATTTAGTTTGGCTACACGTTACATGCTTTCAGCACAAACAACGAAGCTGAGAGTAACTTCAATGGACACTCTGTAATGCGTGCTTTTCTTGGCTAATGCACCAACTCTTCCAAATGCTGTAATGAATGCCATTAGCAATCCTTTTTATATGCGGATAAATTAGATTTGAACAAATGGGAAGTGACAAGACCAGAATGAGCATCATTTTGTGCCATCCCCACCCTCCTTCTATCTTGTCAAAGCCCAAACCCCAGTGGTTAGAGAGAGGGACTTGAGGTGGGAAATAAGGCCAAAGAGAGTCATGGGAAAGGGGGGAGGGGACCCAATTACCATGAGTGTCCTTGTAGATACCAGAGTGCCAGTGCACCACCCCCCACCTCTCTCTGCTATGTGGGATACTGTGAGGACAAGGGACGAGGAGAACCTTCATCAGGACCCCGAGTGACCTGCACTAGGATCTGAATTCTCAGTTTCCTAGATAGGTCCATTATTTAAGCTGCCCAGTCTAAGTGAAAAATGTTCTCCATCCAGGAATATTGTTACAGTAGCCCAGGCATATTCATATACACAGGCATGGAGCTGAGGCAGAACTCAGACAAAGGGACCCTTCGCCACCACCTCGCCTCCAGTTCCAGCCCCTTGCACTGAATGTATACCCAGTTGATTCCTTGATGAATGTTACTGCCAGAACAACTCAAGGTGGAGAGGCACTTCAGGAGGTCGGGACGGGGCCATGAGTCTCCTGTGCCTCCCACTAGACTCTAGTGTCTAGCCTGAGGCGCTCTAGTAAGGTTCCTTGCAAAGGTTTGTGAGAAGTGTGTCCTTACGCCCTCTAGTGGCCATCCTACTCTTAGGCAGCAGCTCTCCAAACCTGGTATTAGGTAGCTGCTATCTGAAGACTTTTTATCACGGGCTTTCAGGATTCCTGTGTCAGTTTACTGTCCACCTCTTCTGTTGGCAGAAATCAAAGCAAACAACAGAATTTTAGGTAACTGCTAAACAAAGGCATAAAGATATCTCTGTGCATAAGATGAACCACCAACACTTTTTAGAGAAGAGGATTTTCTTAGTGATACTGAGGATAGAACCCGGGGCCTTGTGGATACCAGGCAAGCACTCTAGCACTGAGCTACACCCACAAGCCAGAAGAAGACATGGTTTGAAGCCATAGTGACATAATGTGCAATGGGTTAGACCAGAAAAAAATGCTGCGAGGTCTTTAAAAGTAACCTAATGTTTTCTGTTTAAAACAAAACATAGAGATTATATAGAGCAGGACAGAGAGTAATCAAATGTGAGTTGAAACTCTCACATTATGAGACCCTAGAAGGAAAATTGCAAAGAAAGGGATCCAGATATCATGTCTCTGCTTTTAAGTGCAGAAATCTTGGTGTGTACACACGTGTGTATGGTACATGCAGTGTGCACACCCATATGTGTGCTTGGCAGCCAGGGGAGGGCTTCTGGTGCTGCCTTTTCTGATTCTCTTGAGAAAGAGGCTTTCACTGAGCCTGAAGCTAGGCAGGCAGGTCCTTCTTTCTCGACCCCACACAGCACCGGGGTTACAGGTGTGCATGCAGCCCCTGGCTCTCTCCACCCCACACAGCACCAAGGCTACAGGCATGCATGCAGTCCCTGGCCTTCTCCACCCTTCACAGCACCAAGGCTACAGGCATGCATGCAGCCCCTGGCTCTCTCCACCCCACACAGCACCAAGGTTATAGGCATGCATGCAGGCCCTGGCTCTCTGCACCCCACACAGCACTAAGGTTACAGGTGTACATGCAGCCCCTGGCTTTCTCTACCCCACACATTACCAGAGTTACAGACGTGCATGCAGCCCCTGGCTTCTCCACCCCACACAGCAGCAAGGTTACAGGCGTGCATGCAGCCCCTGGCTCTCTCCACCCCACACAGCACCAAGGTTACAGGCGTGCATGCAGCCCCTGGCTCTCTCCACCCCACACAGCACCAAGGTTACAGGTGTACATGCAGCCCCTGGCTTTCTCTACCCCACACATTACCAGAGTTACAGACGTGCATGCAGCCCCTGGCTTCTCCACCCCACACAGCACCAAGGTTACAGGCGTGCATGCAGCCCCTGGCTCTCTCCACCCCACACAGCACCAAGGTTACAGGTGTGCATGCAGCCCCTGGCTCTCTCCACCCCACACAGCACCAAGGTTACAGGCGTGCATGCAGCCCCTGGCTCTCTCCACCCCACACAGTACCAGGGTTACAGGTGTGCATGCAGCCCCTGGCTTTCTCCACCCCACACAGTACCAGGGTTACAGGTGTGCATGCAGCTCCCTGGCTTTTAAAGTGGGTGCAGGAATTACATTTAGGTCCTCATGCTTGTGCAGGAGTACTTTTTATCCAGTAAGCCATCTCCGCAGTCCAAGAACAGAAACCTTGAGCCCACTTTACCACAGTGAGGACAAGGAGAGAAAACTAGCTGTGTCTCACTGTGGTTCTTCAGGGATGGTGGTAACCACGCTGATGGAGGCAGAAATGGTGAGTATTCTACCTGCTACTTCAGCTACCCTTTCCACAGAAAGGAAAGCTTTTTGAACAAAAGCCCCTGAATTCCTTTTCTTCCCATTTTACCTGATTGTTGCTCAAAATAACACATGGAATAAAGAGATCCTTTTAGATGTAGTGTATAAAGGAACTGCTATAACAACAGCCCAAGATTTACCAGTCACACTACAGGCTGATGACTGAGCATAGGGCGAAATCATAGAACATACAGAGAAACTGGACAATGGCTTTTGGTGTCCCATCTTCCACTCTGTTTTGGTTCCAGTATGGGATCACTCCATGTCCCTTCACTGGGCTAGGCTCTCATGCCACGTGGGATTCCCTTCAGTTTCCTACCAGGCTTTTAATCTATGGGGCTCTCCATTTCTCCGGCTGATGTGCAAAGGGACTTAGGACAATTAAAGTGCTGGTGGTGGCTAACAGAAGTCAGAAGTGTCACGGAAGCACAGTCATCAGCTGCATTCAGAGAGCCACAGCCATTGGACTGTATCCGGGAGACCTGTCCCATGCTGAAACCCAGGTCACAAGAAGCACTGCCGAGTGCTAGCTGGCCAGGGTGGAGACACAACTGCCCCGAACACAAACAAAGGGATAGAGCTTAGCCTGAGACAGCCTATGGGAAGAGGACAGCTGACCTCCGATGTAGGAATCTCTGCATGAGCCAGCAAGATGTGAACTGTTCTGTGTGGTTCCAGAGAGCAGGAAATCTGCACCAACATGTAGCAGTCACTAGGAGGGAGACTTGCAAGTCAAGATAAAGAAAAAACTTTGCGACCATGGGAGTGCCTGCCAGCGGAGTGAGTTACTTCAGGAGTGTTGGAGCCAGAAGGAGACAAGTGTCTGTTGGTGAAGCTAAATGAGGTCAAGGCAGAGCAGCTCACCTGGCACAGGGAAACATTCGTGTAGGGTTTTGCCTGGGCGTGCAAGTGCGCCTTGGCTTCTCTCTTATCGCCGTGCACAAGCAGGATGGGTTTCTTCCTGAAAAGAGACCGGAGATGTTTGAAATGCATTGTTCACAAAGTTGGTTTCCTGCTTCATTGAGGGACACAAGGCGCCTAGTCCCTGCCGTTCATTTCTGACTTTGTGGCTAACATACGATTGGAGTGCTCACTCATTAGTTCCTAAGCCTGGTGACTGATGCAGGCAAGTTATAGCGCTACAAAGTTCTTGAGTATTGGTCTTCCTTGGTTCAAAGGAGCACACAGCGGGTTCTGTGCTCTTGTTTCAGATGGAGTCGACTAAAGATATGAGCTGGTGAGATGGTTCAGAGGGCAAAGGTGCTTGACGACAGGGCTGATGACCTCAGTTTGATGCCCTGGAACTCACATGGTAGAAGGAGAGAACCAACTTCTACAACTTGTTCTCTAGTCACCAGTGAATCTCGGCATGTGCAGACCCACACACATACATGCTCGCACACACAAGATAAATAAATGTGAAGAAATTAGTAAAAAAAAATAGACAATTTTGCTACATAGTGATGCTTCCTTTCTTCCTTGTCTTAAACCAATAATTGTTTTATATTTCACCCTGTGCCTATTTACCAAGCATTAATGCATGCTCTATGTACTGTGCAAGATCCAGGACACAAAAGCAAACAGTCCCAAGCCCCCAGCAAGGTGCAGACTTGCTAACAGGAAGTTAGTCAGTGAACTAGAGCCCTAACTACATTGCACATTTTTCCAATTCTAAAACCTATAAAAACGTTCTTTAGAACACATCAAAAAGACCTTTTCTGTTTACTTATTTTGAGACAGGGTCTTAATACATAGTGCAGGCTAGCCTTAACTCGATGTTTTGCCCAGACTAGACTCAAACTCTGTAATCCTCTTCTACAGCCTCCCCAGTGCTGGAATACAGACACAAACCACTCTACCTGGCTAGAAAAAGACTTTTAAGAGACACTTGTTCAGCTAATCCTTAGAAATCAATGCAAACTCTCCCCAAACAAGAAAAATAGTTTTCTCCAACAAGCACCCAAGCAAGATAAACAACTGCAGCCGCACTTATGCTATACTGTAGAAGGCACGGAAGGCAACGTTGAACTGGAAAGCAGCACAGGGTACGCCCATTCAGAGGTTGTCTGACCTTGTGCCCGTGCTAGCTTTGCTCTAGCGGGACTGGCAGACAAACCGAAGACACACGTGAAGACAAGCATTCCTAATGCTTCCCTACTTAGAAAGAGACAGGCCAGCCAGCAAACTGCACGGAGGGCAATGTAAGAAATGTTCGTGTTCCCGGGTCACATGCCAGTCAAGTATCAGAACACCAAGCATTAAGGACAGATGTTGAGGCGCTCGTTCACGCCTTCACATTGGTTGTTTGTGTGGACTCCTGAAGCAGGGCAACACTTGGACACTGAGATGCACAGCCTCACCAACTGTACTACTCCACAATCTAACTCTGGATGTTTCTTGAAGTCACCATTTAGGTCATTCTTGAGCCTTGTAGTATCTTCATGACTTTCCCAAGGTGCATCTGCTAACAAGCGAGTAGAGAGGACTGTATCCTTTGACTCTGCTAGACTGCTGCAACCAAGTGCCCAAACCCAGAGGCTTATGCCACAGCAATCTGGAGCGCTGCAGTTCTGGAAGCAGTAACCCTGAGATCTGGTGCTAGCAGCCTGCTGCGGGTAGACTGACTCCTGCAGGGGACTGAGGAAGAACCTGGGCCAGCCTCACTCTGGCTTCTGGGGGCCTCAAGTATTGCTTAGCTTACAGATGGCATTCTTGTGACTTCATCCTCTCTGTCGCTATGTCCAACTACTTCCTTTTTTATAAAGATGCCAGCACGTTGGATTAGTGGCCTCCCAGTGAGCTCATTTCAACTTGACTCATGATTTCTGTGAAGACTCAACCTATAAATATAGTCACATGCAGAGGTACTGAGGCGTAGAAATCCAAAGATCAATTCAACCCATAAGCGGCACAGAAGGAATTATAGCTCACACTTGGTCAATACTGTGGAAAGGTGACATTGGATTTCAAGGTCCTTGAGAAGCAAAGGGAAAACGACCAGTGTAGTGGGTAGCCATTCCAGCTTTCTCCAGAGAACACCGCTGGACTGTGCCATACCTTTCCCAGACCCTGTAACCTATCCCTTCACTTGTAAGTTACCCCGCAAAATAAACCTCCCTTTTAACTACGTGGAGTGGCCTTAATAATTTCACCAATAGACCAGAAAGCAACAGTGTAACACTCGGGGACCACTGCCAGGAAGAGCTGGAGGCAGGCACCAAGTTACTCCCATACACCCAGTCTCGCTTCTCTTAACAGAACCCTGATTTCATGTAGGACAATGTGGGCTCAGTTAGAAGACTACCTATCTAGCCTTAGAGATGGTTAGTGTCACGTGACTAAGCTCTGCTCCACAAAACAGAAGAGACTCGGGACCAGCCAGACCAGCTCAGAGTGGCATGGATGGAGTATGAGTCCACTCTTTCTCCTCCTCTCTGCGTCCTCGAAAACAGACAAGTGGACTGGAGCTTAGGTTGTCATCCTGGACCATGAGGTAACTCTGAAGACTGAAGACAAACACCAAGGGATGGGACAGAATGACAGAAGAGGGGGTAGCTAAATCAGACAAAAAGCCCCGGTACTCCGTCAACACCATAGACAGCTACCATCGGGAGTTTAGGCCGCAAAGATTTTATTTTCTTTTTCTTTTTTTTCTTTTTTTTGGTTTTTCGAGACAGGGTTTCTCTGTGTAGCTTTGCGCCTCTCCTGGAACTCACTTGGTAGCCCAGGCTGGCCTTGAACTCACAGAGATCTGCCTGGCTCTGCCTCTCAAGTGCTGGGATTAAAGGCATGCGCCACCACCGCCTGGCCTTATTTTATTTTTCAATTAAGCTACTGTTATTTTGAGCTTTCTGTTAATATGCAACTACAGCGAATGTTCTTTTAGTCAACCAAACACCAGCCCTTGAGTGCCAAAGCTGCTGGGGAAATCTCCACATTTTACACTAACACCTGAGGTTTCCACAATGATGCCTGAAAAGCACGGAGGTCTCGATGAAGCTGGCATTCTTTCTTGTTGTGTCTTCCTCCATCCTACTCACTGTTAGAGGACTCTGCACAAATCTGTGTTACGAACACAAACGGCCATGTGTAACATGCACGGCTACATTTCCTTGGTCTGTATTGCTTCACAGGAGGCTGAAGGATTGCCAGAGGCAGCACTAAAAGTCTAACAGTACCTCAGCTTGGGTAAAGGACGGTCATGACCCCCTTTCTTTACTCCAGATATAGTTAGTTCTGGAAGAATCATTTGGGTTGGCACGTACAGACCATTAGAAAAGAACAGCCCTGATGTGCTGAGCCAAGTGTGGCATGCTGGCCGTGTCTGGGCACACATACATATCTAGATACCACACGGAGATGACTGTTTCCTTCACATTAACATTGCCCATGAAGTTGTCACTTGAGTTGGAATTTGTCCTTATCTACTTCCGGACAGAGCAAAGTGGAAAACACTAAGTCTATGAAAAGAATGTGTGTGATTAACTAGGTGAAAAGTGGTCTCCAGCAGAGGCGGTAACTCATTTGGGAAGGGTTTGCATTGTAAACTTGAAGACATGAGTGGATTCCCGGAACCCGTGCAAAAGATGCCAGGCATGATGTTGTGCACCGTAATCCACAGCTGGGGAGGTGGATACAGGCAGATCCCTGGCACTGGGTCAGCAAAAGAACCTGTCTCAAAAAATAGAATAAAGTAAAATATAAAAGAAGAGAGGAGATGGTTCCTGAAGATAAACACTCAAGCACACACACACACACACACACACACACACACACACACACACACACACACTAACTAACTAAATGAATAAAATGCTGTTCTCCCAAAACAAATGTTTCTTTTTACAATTCTGTCAAGTGAAATACAGAGAGATGGGTGGCTAGTCTGGGAAGTGCAAGTCTAGCACTCCACTGCACTGTTTGCACTCTGGAACCACGGGACTCACCTGAATTCTGGGGGATACTGCTTTACGAGCCAGTCCACATCAAAGCAGTAGTTAAACTAGACGGGGGGGAAAGAAAGGTAAGTCAGCCACATGTATGTTCACAAGGACTGTTACTAAACTGAAAGGATTTCTAAAGCAATCATGTGCTACAGTGTTCATAAACCTAGTCAGTTAGACAGCAATAAGCAAAAGTAACCCCAAATTTCATCTTCAAGAACACTTGGTTAAAGGAATCTGCCGAATGCCCCAAATAGGCTCTAAGGATATTATCTGCACATACTTGGGCAACATTTCTGTTTGTCAGTGGTGTTACTACATCATTCCTAGTAGTCCAGGCTCACAAAGTTCCCCTGAGGTGTCAGAGACAAAGATCCCAAGACTTTTAGGAAAGACCATTTCCTTTCAGCACAACTTATCAGTTAGCCTGGTACACTCTAACTTGTTCATAATTAGTAGCTACTGACTGCAAGTTCCACAGCGTTTTATTGATGAGGAGGCCTCTTCTTCATGCCTGGCCAGTCCTGGGCACAGGAGCTTAAGTCTAGCTGAGAAAGAATGCACAGGCGCATCCCATTTGGTTCTATCTAGAGATCAGAAGCACATCATACAGGAAGGTGGCACCTCTGCTCCCTTCAGGAAGAAGACCCTTTTTTTCTGACTAGTCCTTGAGCTTCTGGACCGTTACAATGACTTGTCAGCACCAAGGGACCAGCTCAGTGCAGCAAAAGCCCTTGAACATGCAGAAGTAGTCACAAATTCTACTCCTTTCTAATGCAAAGCATCCATTTTTCTAAAGCAACTCAAACTTGACTTGGCTGTGGTGATACACTGTGTACACTAATAAACTTGCCTGAAGATCAGAGGACAGAACAAGCCACTAGATTAAACACAGAGGTCAGGCAGTGGTAGTACAGACCTTTAATCCTAGCACTCAGGAGGCAAAGATCAGTGTGAATCTCTGTGAGTTCAAAGCCACCCTGGACTACATGAAATTGACTCTGTCTAGGAGAGAAACAGAGCCAGGCAGTGGTGGCACACGCCTTTAATCCTAGTACTGGGAAGCACACACGCCTTTAATCCCAGGAAGTGATGTCTGGGCAGAGAAAGGTATATAAGGCACGAGGAGACAGGAACTAAAGGCTGAAGTGTCCCTTTCAGCTAGAAGCTTTTTCGGCTGGAGCCTTTCGGGTGAGGACTCAGAGAGAATCTCAGTCAGAGGATCTGTGGAATTGGTGAGGTGAGATGTGGCAGTGGCTTGTTTCTTTGTCTCTCTGATCTTTCAGCATTTACCCCAATGTCTGGTAACGAGTTTTTTATTAATAAGACTTTTTAGCATTTGAACAACACTTGGTCTTTACCATGCTACCCAACCATCCCAGGGTACTGCACTAGCATCCCATTAAGTTGGAGGTATCTCCCTGACTCTTTCAGGGAGGAATATGAAGTGACTTCTTGGCCAGCCCTTGTGGCCTGATCAAGAGTCAGGTGTTTCCTTTTGAGTGGCCTCCATGCTCTATGCTGATGGGGGCCACGTGAGAGACTGCTGTGTATGGATCCCACAATATGGCCAGGCTCTAGGCAGAAGCCAGCTTAGGGGACACTGTATAGGACCGAGAAGCCCATCTCCTGTCACATCTCTCTCCTTACCCAAAGAAAAGATAACTTATTATAAACTCACCTGAGCTGAAGAGACAAGGGTCCCAAACAGAGGGGATAAAATATCTACAAAGACAAAACAAATGGACTCTCAGATAAGAACCCTCTATAACAATTACCCTTTTCAGCAGCAGCCAGTGACAATCAAGAGAAGAGTAAACTGAAAAGCTACTACAAGGCTAGGTTGTAATATTCTGTAAAACTCATGATAACATTTCTTTATACGACATAATATGTATCACATTCTTTGATAAAGTAGAATACAAAACTAAAATCTAAAACTTAAGTCCTGGATGACTGCTTAATATTGGACTCTGTTGATGCACATTAATTACATCCATTCTTCTCCATGGACCTCTGAATCTTTACCTCCTTCTGTCCCATCTAAGTCCTCAGTGGTGTTCCCCTGTAGCCAGAGAGTACTGGCTTCCCAGAACAGTACACTCACATCCTTGGTACTCTAGGCCACCTCTGAGGACATCCCACTTGGTTCCCCTCAAGCCTGACTTTGGACAGATTAGAAAGGGCATTGTTCATTAATGACACCACAATCAACACCATCTTGCACCAGTATAGCACTTCTTAGGGATAGACATCGTTCTCAGCGCTTTCAATAAATGAACTCAATCCTCCTGGGGATTTTGAGGTAAGGTGTTACTCTGTCTTTTGGGGTAAGGAGCATATCAGGAGGAGGCTGTATGTGACCATACAGCTGGAAGGTCAGAGAGTTAAGGTTTGACCCAGGACGTCTGGCTCTAGGTTGCTGGTACCTACTGAGTTGCTTCTAAGAAGGAAGTGGGCTAGTTCACTTATTTGACAGTTACTGGGTACTTCCTGTCCTCTAATGAAAGCTATTGGGGTCCTGGCCCTCGACAGCCTTCACCCAGAGTTCCAGAAGAGGTGTTACTGGTGGTGGATTAATCTGAGGGGTTTACTAATAAATCTATGTACACGAAACTCTTTAGTCCATGCACTTTATTCTTCTGAGTCAGTTCTCTCTCTACACTGCTTCTACTCTGTTCTCACACTTAGCTTCTTTCTTGCCTGATTCTCTCCACATCTTTCTGCTGTTCCCTCTAAGCGCTATCTTGATTCCTTCATCTTAGTTCTGCCCCATCTTGGTCTTTCTCATCTTGTTCTTACCCACCTAGTTCTTCCCCATCAGGCTCTTCCTCATCTCCCATCTTGTCCTTCTAGTTCTCCATCCAGTTCTCTACTCTAGTCCCCCGAGTCTCTGAGGTTTACAGTTGTATACCCATGCAATAGCAATGCTCTGGCTAAGGCAAGGTCACCAGGCTTGAATTCTTACAGGGTCATAAAGGCAGATAAGAGTTTTCCTCAGGCAGTGACTGTCATGCTTTCTTTTACAACCCAAAAGGGGAGTGGTTAAGGGAGGAGGTCAACTAAGAGCTAAAATTGGTTAATATATCAGAAAAAGGGAATTTATGTGCTCAAATTACATTCCTAGAAGTGGTGTCTATAATATTAGTATAAATACCATTAAGGCTGTATAAGAAAGGAGAGTCTGAGCTTAATTTGCACAAGAAACAAAGCTATGCACCTAGGCTTAGGAGACAGGCAGTGTCTCCGTAAGGGTGTTTACCTTAATTCAGGAGACTCAGCAGTTGGAATGAAATGCTTTGTCCTGTCTGCCTTTTGGCTTTGGATGCTAGAGAAGTATATACAATACACTATTAGAAGTTCTTGGGGGAAGGTATGAGAGCACACAAGAAATTCATAGTAGGAAACAGCTGATATATTAAAAGCCAAATATCAGCCGGGCGGTGGTGGCGCACGCCTTTAATCCCAGCACTCAGGAGGCAGAGGCAGGCGGATCTCTGTGAGTTCGAGGCCAGCCTGGGCTACCAAGTGAGTCCCAGGAAAGGCGCAAAGCTACAGAGAAACCCTGCCTCGAAAAACCAAAAAAAAAAAAAAGCCAAATATCACCAAATACTCCTTGAGATTTGGGTTCCTCTGGAAGAATTCCCCTGATTCCTCCAGCTATAGCTTTACCATATTCAGCTGAATTCCTGCTACATTCCTGTGACTCTAGCAGTCCTCTAGACATTGTGTGAGATGTGGGGCTAAGACGTGTTTGAAAGAACAAAACAACTAGTAGGAAAGCTCCTCATTTTGGGACCAGCAGAGTTAGGAGATAAGCTGCCATACAGTCTTCCAGCTGGCCCCCATCTGCACCTCTAGCTTTTTAAACTTCACCCATCTTCCAGGGTCCACTGGAAGGCCCGTCCTCCATGAGGTCTAGAGAACCTACAATTATGGCTAGTGTTAGCAGGATACATCAAACAGCACGAATTTAGATACAAGTGTTAGTTTTTCGGCTGCGTTGTGTTCTTACCCTGCAAGGAAATGCCACGAAACACAACAGAATCCACTAACAAGAGTTTTATTAAAGGTAAAGGGACAGAGAGTGAACAGGCCTGCAGGAAACACGTGTGTGGAGAAGAAGGAGGAAGAAGAAGAAGAAGGAACCGGGAACATGGCGCCAGATTTTAAAGGCTGGGCGTGGACAGATCAGCGTCACTACTACACGCAAGCGCGTAGATCACATGGCCACGTTGCACGCCTACGTAGCCAATGGAACGACGGATCTTGGTCACGCGAGATGCCCTGACCTGGAAATGGCTATCCTGACCTGGAACTGGCTAGGTGGAAGTGTCCGTCGGGCATATGCGAACACGCCCGACCGTGGGGGTGTGTTGTAAACCTTTCAACAAGAACTGGATTCAAGTGTGGCTCTACCATTTAACAGCTCTGTGACCTTGGGTAAGTGATGTAACTTTTCTGAACTGCAGATCTGTCACATGTCCAAGGACATTTGATCATCTTATTAGGCTGCTCTGATAATTGAAATACATGTAAAACCCTCATGATGTCATCTCCTCCTTAAATCTTGATGCAGACACCAAGTTGTTACTATTTTATTACATAGAGCAGTCTTTCCATACCCCTCTGCTTCCTATGGCAGTCTCTCCCAGACAAAGCAATCCCACCAGAAACTATCTTATATATCTTCAGGGTACCTACATAAGAGATGCTCAAAATTTTGTGGAATTGGACTTACTACTATGGAATTAAACCCATCAACATTTACACATCATACAGGAGAATACAGGTACTACCATGCATTTGATATGGAAAAACTACATTAAGAATATTCTATGCTGTGAATATTCGCCCCCAAAAAACAAAACAAAACAAAAAAAAAAGCACGTTAATGTGAGAGGATGCTTATTGTGTCTCCAGCCATACGAATACACGCTGTTCACTTCACATATCTGCTCTGTTCTGAATCCTTATCCCATACTGTCCTAACCATAGAGAGAATGAGGGGCGAAAAGGGAATCTGTGCCCTTTGAGTCCATGTGTTTCCCTGTTCCTCCATGGAATGCAGAGAACCATTAGGGACCATTCTCTGCCTCATACCTGAAGCATCCACCTGCATACAACAGCACTCATTTTTTGCTTCTTTGTCCTAGGAACCCAAACCAGGCTCTCAAACATCACTAGGCATTGTTATTCCCTGGGGGCTTAGAGTAAGCATAGGTGGCAGTTTCTAACCCCTGAGAGTCTGATTTGATGAATCTAAGACAGAGCTGAGAACTGGCATTTCCAAGGTCCAGTTGATTCTGATGCTGCTGGCCCAGGGACCATACGGAGCCACTGTGAAGTTTATGGCACTTAGTAAATAGCACTACCAGTCAAGTTTAGTCTTCACTTGGAAAGGTAAACAATTCTAAGCACTGTGCCAAGTGTTACTAGGGGCTGAGCTACAGGGGCCTTGAGAAGGACCCTTGGAATGCCACCTGTCTGCCACATGCATTCAGGGTAAACAACTTTCCCCACCAGTAGTTAAGACAGGCTCTTAAAGGCCATTCTAAGCTGTGCCCCCTTGCTTTACCAAGAGGGAAATGGCTCACCAGCTCCTAAGAACCCTTGTCCTTACCCTTGATGTGGAGGGCTTTGGAGTTGTACTTGGCCTTAATCCCTGAGACTCGAGTGAGGTAAAATTGGAAGGGGTTCCCTTTATCCAGCATGTCCCAGATGTCCTGGCCTTCCCCTGAGGTCTCGTACTCATCGTCTGCCCTTTGAGGCCTATGGCTGGCAGGAGGGCTGCGATCTACAGCTTTCTGGGCAGTAGTCATGTTGGGCGAGGAGTCACGTTTTTTCTCTTGAACCACCATGTGCTTAGGCTGTTCCTGCTGTGTCTCTGGCTGCTGTTCATCGTCGCTGCTGGACAGACACCAGCCGAGACCTTCTGTGGAATCGCTCTTCAGCTTTTTGGGCGGTAACACTGAGTCTGTGTTGCTGAATTTCACAGGTGAGAGCTGTCTCTTGTGCGCAGCCTTGCGGGCCTCTGAGCAGGTGTACGTGGGCTCCTTCACTGCCCCCTGCCCTGCCTGGGGGAGACGGGATGTGGACGGCTTGTCAGGTTTGGACTTTTCATCCTCGCTTTCGTCACTACTGGATATAGTCCACCTCCCATAGCTGCTCTCCTGGGACATTATACTTCTGAAAAGGAAGGACGGAAGCATTACTTTCTACTTAATAGGCAACTGGTAACATAACTTCACGGCTCTCAAATTCTGGTCAGATGAGTCCCTCAATACATGCAGACTTCTGTCACCAGAGGCTGAGCCACTTACCTAGCCCTGGGATCTCCTATGAGGGGCTGACAGACTGAAGGAAGCATCCTAGCCACCTGCTTCCTGCTGTCTTTCTAGCTAGACCTTGGTCTGAGAGGCCCTAGGAAGGGATTTAAGGTTAAGGCCATCTTAAGAAACTTTTAAGAATAATTCTGACCATGTTCATTTTTCGTTCTATTTTGTTTTTTGGGGGGACTGAACTTAGGCCCTTGTGCTTGCTAGGCAAGCTCGCCATTAATTAAAAAGTAATCACTGTACTTGTTAGTGTGCACAGGGATAGCTAGCTCTGTGTTGGGGAGTGGTATGCATGTGTCTGTGGATGATGTGGGAGTGAGAGGACAATTTGCAGGAGGAGTCTGTTCTCTCCTACCACATGGAACCCAGGGATTAGACTCAGGTTATCAGGCTTGGTAGCAAGCACCTTTGCCCACTGAACCAACTTCCTGGCTCAAATATAAATATTTATTTGTTGGGAGAAAGGGGTGCAAACAGAGGTCAGCGAACAACTTGAGGGAGTCGGTTCTCTCTCTCCCATGTGGGTCCCACAGATCGAACACAGCAAGTCAAGCTTGGCAGCAAGCACCTTTACTCACTGCGCTATCTTGCTGGTCCACACTCCAACTTTTAGAGTAAAAGTAGAATTTACAAATTTATCTTCACGCATGTACAGAAACCCACAAGACTTCAGAAACAGCTGCGTCTTACATTTCCAAAGCTAGGGACCTACCTTAGCTTAGGCAAGCCTCCGAGAGGAACGCTGAATGACCACTTCCCTTTGTGTGTACAGTTTACAAGCACTGCCATGAGGACCCAACTCATTTCAGATCATTGTCTTACTGGCCATGCCATGACTCAGATGACTGAAACCTGCAGGCCAGGACTTGAACTGATGCCAAACACTTTCAGTTTCCAAATCACACAGGTGGTCTAATTTATGCTCTCTTGCTCTCAGAAGAGCAAAATATAGGATCTATGTACTTTTGGAGTTGGCTATGTTATGCCCAGATCATGGGACCCCCAAAAGACCACCATGGAGACTCAATCCTGCATGTAAAAGCAAAGAGCCTTTATTCTCTTCAAGCTCCGAGTTTGGTCTTTCTGTTTGTCTGACACAGCAATGAGAGCAGAAAACCCTGAGCCCAGGTGGGGTAGGGTTTTTATAATAGCAGAGGTTGGGGTGAGGGGATTTCAAGGGTTCAGGACCTTGATTGGCTGACAACTGTCTAGGGGTATCAGTAAAACAAAAATAGGTGTGTGCTAGACTCAAGGATATCTGGACACCTTATCTAATGGTTAGAATGTTTGCTATGTCAGGTACTTCCTCACCCCTGGGTAGATCCCTGGGTGGTATCAGCTTCAGGCTTTTCCTGGATCTGGGTGTTGCCTGCCAGTAAGCCTGTCACAGAAGGTGTGTCTAGGCCCCTAAGCCTGTCATGGCTGCTGTGTGGTCAAGCTGTTTTTGGGCCCCTCTACAGGCTACAAAATGCATTCAAGTTAAATAGTAAAGGGCTAAGTGGGTTTCCCCCCAGCCTCCTCATGCGATGCCAGGTTAGTACAGAACTCTGAGGAAAACTAAAATAAATGTTCAGAAATACGTGCTCCTATGGTCTGGGCGTCTTCAAGGCTTGTTTCACAGCTGAAGAGGATACATTAGGAGTGGGGTAAACCAAGACAAAAGGCAGTACTCCAAGGAACTTGCAACCCTCACCAACTAAAAAACAAACAAAAACCCCAAAACAAAAACAAACAGAAAAAAAACTCCAAAAAAAAAAAAAACAAAAACCCACAAAATCCCCAAAATCTCATAAGTAGGAAAGCTTGATTATATATCAGGTTTTCAAGTGAATATACATGCACATTTTAAGCTAAAACAAAAAACAAAAAGACAGGGTTTCTCTGTGTAGTTTTGGTGCCTGTCCTGGATCTCGCTCTGTAAGACCAGGCGGGCCTCGAACTCGCCGAGATCCCCCTGCCTCTGCCTCTTGAGTGCTGGGATTAAAGGCGTGCGCCACCACCGCCCAGCAAAAAAACATAGTTTTAAGGTATTGATCACTTTTCACAATTTCTCCCTTACCCAACTTCAATTAATTCCAGTTTGTTTACACAAGGTTTCTACTGAAAATAGCACATTCCAAGAAGCTCTCATATAGAGAGCATGAGACATCCTTCATAGCTCACCATTACACTTTACTTCAACAGCCTCGAACACCACTTTATCAGCCCAAATGTGGGGGCAGCAGAGTGGGTGGGGTCACCTGCTCCTTCAGTAATAGGTGACCCTAAGTTCTCTATGTATTTTGAACTTGAATCTGCTTTCTAAAAGGTTTGTGTTAGTTTCAATGGTGTCCAACTCATTTCTAGAGGCTCTGAGAACTCTGTTTAGGTATGTGCCTAAACAGTTTCTGATCTACACGGGTTAAGAAACCAGCTTGTCCCAGCTGACCCAACTGTGACAGATGTACTGTGCACCGGGCAGTTTGCAACAGGAGACTTTACTTCAAGAAGCTCAAGTGTAGGTTTTTTGAATTTGCTTGTATATTTTTTATTTTAACAGACACCCTTTATTCTAGACTCTAGAGCAGAACTACTTAAGCAGACCAATTTGTTCTGAAGGGACTACTTAATCCTATAAAAGGACCACATAAAGAAAAACTGGATGAGTTTCTCACTTCCCTAAATTCTAAACCAATGTAGTAAGTAAAAAAGGACCACAATCTGTACAAGACACCCCAAGACCAAGTTCTCAGCACAAAGGAGATTTTGTTTGTCCCAAAGGGACAAAGAATTGTCTCTGGATAGAGAGGAGACAGACTGTGGGCCCTAAGCAAATGGTTTATAAAGGGAAAAAGGGAAAGCCCCTTGTTAGGAGAGTTGGTTTGTTTTGATTGGGCATGTTAATTAAGGTAATCAAAAGGGGGCTTTTGATTGTTAGACTTCAATACTTTGATAGCTGGATCTTGGTGGTCAGTCTCAGGAAGAGGAAGTGACGAAATAAGGGAAAACTCTGGGGTGGCTAGCTTTAGGAATGCAATCTAACGGTTTAGCAAAAACAGAGGGAATGGGGGAGGGGCAAGGCCTGCCAGGTCCCTTCAGTAAGGAATTTAGTAACAGAATCTTCAGTTAAGAGTTCTCAGGCTGGGTATGGTGGCTCACACCTATAATCTCAAGGCTGAGGCAAAAGGATCTTGAGTTTGTGGCTAGCTTGGATAATACAGTAAATTTGAGTCTAGCATGAGCTAAGTATCGAGGCTGTTTCAAAACTAAGACAATAAAAATCTATTTTAAATTCTGTGAATGCCTGTGTCTGCAAGCAGTGTAGGTATCGCAGGAGGCTGGAAGAGGGCCGTGGATCCCCCTAGCGTTAATCCTAGGTGGTGGTAAGCTACCCCTGCATGGATGCTGAGAACCAAGTTAGGCTCTGAGGAGCGGTACATATTCTTAACTGCTGAGCCATCTCTCTCTGCCCACCCCCCCATCCTTTAATCTGGGTGGGTGTTCAGAAGTATCTACTTCAGTGGCAGACTGCAGACTGCAAGGGCTGGGTGGACCCTCTGGGGTCAGCGGCTAGCCAGGTTAGCCTTCCTGGTGAGTTCCAAGCCAGTGAAACCAACCAGTCAAAAAACAAAAGCAAGAACCACAAACCATGCATATCTGCTGCTCTACAGACAGTAGCTCGGTAGTGGAGCCAGCTTAGACACCCATCAGTAGGTGAATGGATACTGAAGGTGGGGCACACACAGTCACTGAAATTTTACTGTAAAGAAAAATGACCCCCATGGAACTGGACCCTCTGGGTAAGTGAGACAGTTGATGAGCTTGAATTGTTTGGGAGGCCCCCAGGCAGTGGGACTGGGACCTGTCCTTGGTGCATGAGCTGGCTTTTTGGAACCTAGGGCCTATGCTGAGACACTTTGCTCAGCTTTGGTGCAGGGAGGAGGGGACTGGACCTGCCTCAGCTGAGTCTACCAGGCTGGGCTGACTCCCAGGGGAGACCTTGCCTTGGAGGAGGTGGGAATGGGGGGTGGGTTGGGGTTGGGGGGGAAGGCTGGGAGGTTGGAGGAGGGAGGACAGGGGAATACATGGCTGATATGTAAAATTAAATTAACTATAAAATAAAAATATTTATTTAAAAAAAAGAAAAATGAAATTATGAAAATTTCAGGAAAATGGATGGATCTGCTAAATATTATATTAAAGGAGGTGACTCAACTCACGTGTTCTCTCACATGAGTGCAGGTTTTCATTTGTGTGTGTGTGTGTGTGTGTGTGTGTGTGTGTATAAATGGATACAAAACCTAAAACCTAAAAACCTAGAAAGGAGATGAAGAGAGGGTAAAAGGTGCTGAGGAAACATGGGGGGAAGGGAGCAAAAAGACACATGTCACCTGAAGTCAAAGAGAAGACAGGGGTGGGGGAGGGTGGGGTGGGGTGCGGTGGGGTGGGGCAGGCCAGATCTACTAAAAACACACCTTGTAAATGACATACTTCGTATGCTGATTTAAAATTTCTAATTAAAATTTAAAAACCCCAAATAAATAAGAGCATACTGAATAATGAGGCTGTCTTCTGGCCTCCACACACACACATACCGCATCCACAGAAACATGAACAATACACAAATGCAAACACACACATAACTAAAACAAAAAAACCACAAAAATCCAAAACCAAACCAAACCTGAAAAGTACTCGGGATGAGCAGGGGACTCCATCCCCAGCACTGCTCAAAATAAAAAAATTAACGGAACTAAGTACTTGGACTTTCTCTCTACATTCATTCTCTATTCTAAAGCGAAGAGCAGGTCTCAGAATTGGGGTGAGAAATGGTTCTGCTTCCAGCATGAGAAAGGAGCTGTCTGCTTTTTTTTTTCCAGAGTCTTGCCTTGCAGTCCAGATTTGCTCTGAACACCCCCTCTTCCTCCTCCAGCTGCAGCGTTATAGGTGTGCGTCACCAAACCTCAGTCTTTCCCCCCTTCCCAATACATGAAATATTTCACTGATTTGTGTCATCCTTGCAGACCACCATGCTGATCTTCATCATTCACATGTTGGCTGCTGGAAGGAGCCCACTTTGCAGAATCCAAAGAGATGCTCATCAATCTCTTCCCCACGTGGATACAGAGACCATGGCCTGTATTAATAAATCGGAATCCTGGAACCTTGAGGACTCTAGTGACTCTAAATTCTTTAGACAATTCTCAAGTTTTTAGTCTTATCTACATTTTCTAGAACCACACTGGGGGTGGCATCCCTACCAATAACTAGAACAAGTTGGCAAAATAACACAAATAAAAATCTTTGAAAAAGACATTTCTCAGAAAACAAAATCCATTGTGTGGTTCAGGCTTTACATATAATTTCAATTTGGAGATTTCTGACATTCAAAACTACGCTGGAGGGCTGTTTACCACTGAAGGCAAATAGCCTTTGTGACATACTAATGAAATTGTACCTTGTCATTTTGTCCACCAGGTTACCAACTTCATTATGAAAACAAGGTCCTTCGCCTGTTGAAGAAGGCTGCTGTGATGTAAATGTCAAGATCACGCAGGAAATGACTTCTAATTTGGAGGCCTGGATCTGGTCAGCATCACATTTTACTGCTCCCTCATACAGGACCAGGTTCCTTCTGAAACCTTTTAAAAGTACCCAAGGCCCAGCCTGACAAGGACAGACTCCCAATGACTTTCTTTCAGTGGATTAACAGGCAGTGCCCAGGAGAGCAGAAGTCCAAAGGCACAGTTGCAGTAAGTGATGTCAACAGAGAATTACAATATAGGTACACCCCCTCTACCCACCCAAGTCCCAGCCCTGATTCAGAGCACTGGTGTTTCTTCCAGTGGGGACACCTGGGACCTGCCACTGACTGACCACATGTGACAGCACCTCCCTTCCCATTCCAATTCAGTTTCTGCTTAAATCAAAGAGAAAGCTGTAGTGTTGGAAAAAAAAAAATGCTTTGCATTTCGCTTTTGAACTACAGTGGTGGGCCTCTGTACACTTGTGGATTCCCTGTCAGTAGACTGTAGCTTGTGAGTCCATTATAGCTACAATGGCAACATAAAGTCTACTTTGTAAAAGACAGTATTTGCATAGTAGTGGATTCAAATAAATAACAGCATATGTGTAAAGAGGATAAACACTAGGGAGGCAGGCCAGGCAATGAGATTTGGCAAACACTGCACCAAGATGAAAAAGAAATCTTATAAAATCCTTTCACTAGACAGCAACTCAGAATGTCATCAGAGGTTTTATTAAGGACTTAAAAAAAGCCCATGGAGGGTTAGAGATCTGACTCAGTGGGTAAGAGCGTTTGCAATCCCCATCACCCCATCCCCACCTAAAAGCCCAGCATGATTCGTATACCTGTAACCCCAACATTGCGGTAGAGACAAGCAGGTCTCAAGAATTCAATGGCCAGCCACCCTGGAAGAAACTGTCCTCTTCCCTTTCAGTGAGAGACCCTGACTCACCACAATAGGGCAGAGAGCAAAAGAGGAAGACACTCCACAACTGCATACACATTCACACACACACACACACACACACACACACACACACACACACACACACACACACACAGAGTTGATACAGAAAAGCACTCCAATCAGAACGCTGCTTCCTCTACCCCCAGCTGAGCAGACCCTGAGTATTTCTGCTACATTAACACTGCTCCTCCGACCTTTGAGACCCAGGCACCAAACTCCTCATAGAGGTCCTTCCTCTGAGCCCAGTAGCACACAGAATTAAGAACTGAGAATAAAGAGTTAACAACATACAGCGTCTATCCTAGGCAAGTTTAATTTCAGGGCGAAAGGCACAAATTAACACCTAAAAAAATCTAAAAGTCAAGATGATTAGATGCTCATTACATTTTACAGGGATAACCTTTCTTTGGAATCATTTCTGGAGCAGCATGTGAGACCTAAGGATCAGCAGGCGAAAAGACAGGTGAACAGCGTTGCAGACAGATGTAACCCAACTTGCAAAAGGCCAGGAGGTGTTAACAGGGTACTAACCTTAATATAGGCATGGTCCAGAAAGAAAGGGATGGGAGAAGTGAGGTAAGGCTGTCAAAAGCCAAATTTTATTCTTAAAACAATGGGACTCTCACTCGGTGTTTTAGCAAGAGGAGTGCCTTGGCCAGTTTAACCTTTTGAAATGAGTATATTCCGTACAACTCTGTGAGCACGTGGCAATAAAGACGCTTCCGCAGGAGCTGGGGTACCGGGTGCTTAAGGAGACTGCCATGGAGAAGTGGGTAATTTGGGGGTACGCTAAGCAAATCGCGAAGCTGTCAACTTGCCCGGGCGCTCGGCTCTGCCCGGACACCATTGCAAGGGTAACATATTCATTTCACCCTCAAGACAACCTATTTCACGGCCGTCCCCATGATGTGGAAAGCGAGGGCAGAGAGGTTCAGAGCGTGCCCCGGGGGGAGCGCCTGCCCCTCGCCTTCGCAGAGCGCTCCAGGGGCAAGGACTGCAGGATCCGGGGCTCGGGGAGGAGGGGGCCGTGCCCAAGGACCCCGGCCTCGACGGTCTCCTCGCGGTCCGCACCGAGCCCTGCAGGCCTCCCAACTACCACGTCGGATGGCCCAGGCCAGCGCGCCGCCATCAGGAGGGCGGGCGCAGAGTTACGGCCGCCGCCAGAGACCGCCCCGAGACGGCGCCCGCAGCCGCAGACACCTACCTGGCCCGCCAGTCCTCCGCCGCCGAGACCCCGCCCCGCGGCGCGCCCGCGCATGCGCGTCATTCAAACCCTCTGGCGCCGCTGCCTGGTCGGCCGGCTGCTTCCACTTCCGGAAGCCCGCCGCTGGGTCCTAAAGTCCGCCTTTTTCGCGGGAGAGCCACTGGACTAGAAAAGGGTTGAGTGCGCGCTACTGGGAACCCAGCTCCTCGCTCATCTCCGCTCTTTCCTGTTGACACCTTAAGAAGGGAGAAACAGAAAGCTGCACGCTAGGTTCTCTTGTAGTTAATCAACAAACGACACCCTCTTTCTGGGGCTGCTCTTAGGCAGTCTCAGGCTCTCAGGGCTAAGACAGCAGCAGCGTGCTTTCCGAGATAGGTGAGCTGTAAAAGGCAGCTGCTTCAGACTTTAGCATCTGCTGCAGGATAAAAAGTTAAATGAGTTCCCATAAAGCTCAGCACCTTGAATGACTCTCCTTTGAAATGGGCGTGTTCTTATCAATCTCACTGATCTGCCAGAAGGGTAGAGGAGTCTGGTATAAGTCAGTCTGGAAAACGAAGTTCTAGTGCACATTTCTCCTCTTGTATAAAGATGTCTCCTGTGGGATGCTTGTGCTGTTCCTTGAGTCAGCCTCATTGCTTCCCGGAGGTTGATTAATTCTGTGTAAACACTCTAACGGATAGTCTCGTTTGTCTTAGTGTTAAGTGCTGGGGTTACCAAGAGGGCGAAAATAAACCTAGTAGCTGCCCTGAGATCGCCGTGCAATGGGCTTAATTTAAAAATCAATCTGGAGCCGGGCGGTGGTGGCGCACGCCTTTAGTCCCAGCACTCGGGAGGCAGAGCCAGGCGGATCTCTGTGAGTTCAAGGCCAGCCTGGGCTACCAAGTGAGTTCCAGGAAAAGGCGCAAAGCTACACAGAGAAACCCTGTCTCGAAAAACCAAAAAAAAAAAAAAAAAAAATCAATCTGGGGAGTTCACTCAATATTGTGTGTGTGTGTGCTTTCTTCACATTATTTTGAGTCTCCTACAAAGTCTAGAAAAGACGTGAGTCAAAATAATCAAAGAGAGTTTATTGCAAGTTTGATAGAAAGCCTGAAAGCAATCAGAACATGTTTAAAAAGCATCGGGAGTCACCCAAGCTCCCTCAGCGGCGTTCAAGGAGTCAAGAAAACTGAGAAGGGGCGGGACTAAGTACTGGGGGCGGGCCTTGGGAGCTCCTCCCCGTTGTTAAACGGAGCGTTTGACCAATGACACTACGAAATCAACGCCAGTGGCTCTGAGGCTGGCCAATGGGAGGAGACGTTGGAGTTGCGCGGTGAAGTTGAGTCCCAGCGGTGGTGGGCGTGGCCGCGGTGGGCTGTTCGAGCTCCCTCTGGAGAAGTGGAGCTGCCTGGGTCGGTCTGGGCGGTGTTGGCGTCGCTGTCCGTGCCGATGTTCTCGTCAGAGGCAGGCGCCAGGCCGCGGACTTGCGAAGCCACGGCCTCGGAACGCAGGAAATGGGTGGAAGTAGGTGTGGGAGCGCGACCCGAGTTCGGACTCAGCTTGACCAGGGCCACTTCGGTCACCACTCTTGGGTCTCCCTCAGCCATGTTCTAATTGGCTCTGAAAAGAACTGTGCTTACAACCAAGTCACAGCTGCAGGACTGATCACTTCCCTGCCCGCTACACCTCCACCTGCATTAGCTTCTTTCTTCCCACCCACCCCCTTTGCATCACCTTCCGAATCCCGGGACACTGAGCTTCGGCGTGGTTTATTTCAGTGGTTTAGAGGAATTGATTTGTCAGCCTAGAGATCAAGCCGCTGAAACTTTGGGGGTGGGGGCCAGAGAGAGGATCTTAACTCAGCGTTTATATTGCTTGAGAATTAAAACTAGGGTAATGAAACTGCATTTTAAAAGCCCCACAACCAGACTGAGTTTTAGATGTTTGTGTTTCTGGTTTCTGGCTAATTGTGGATGTTTAATACTCCTTAGGTATTTAAAGCATGTGATGAAGACAACAAAGGCTACTTAAGCCGAGAGGACTTTAAGGTTGCGATTGTAATGCTGTTTGGATACAAACCCTCCAAGGTTAGAACTTTCTCTCTCCCTTCTTCTGCTACTCTCTCGTCTTTCCTCTCTTTTCTCCCTTCTTTGGATGGGGTAGATAATGCTATAGAAATGTGTCCAAAGAAAATTGGCCCGGACTCCTTTCTGATAGCTGTGGAGCAAATTTATGAGCTGATTTATAAGCCATTTCTAAGATGTCTCCAGTGCCGATTCCACACACCCTCCCCCCAAAGGCCCAACTCAGGCACGAATTAGGTATCTATGTCAATGGAGCCGACAAAACATCTCCTAAAATTTATAAGAAATATGGGATGGTAGAGAGGATAGGCTGGGAGGCAGGGTGGCGGTGTGTAATAGGAGGAATTTGCCTACTAGTTCATATATGTAGTAGAATTTCTGGGTGGCTTTCTTTAATTGATAAAAGTAATACACTCATACAGTCCACAAAATCCCTTCTCTTTCCACTAGACTAGGGTCTCACTTAACCAGTTTCTTCTGAATTGTTCTACATACATGTGTGGTCATAGTCTTCTACTGAAAACATTAGTTGCATACTCTTATTTTAACATGCATTTAACACGTTGCATTAGCGACAACTCCAAAGCACACACCATTACCACCTTAAAAATTAGTTGTATTCTCTTTAGTCCATTTACCTTTTGTTGTTGTTTGAATTAATGTCAGTTCCTGCAAGCATTGTTGAAGTGAACATCCTTTTACATCTAAACACACACACACATGAGTTGTCTTTGTAGAATATATATGTAAATATATTACATATATATGTAATATATATTATATATATATATTACATATATATATATCATGGATATGTAATTGCAGTGCTTGGGAGCATGAAGCAGAGAGATCAGGAGTTTGCACTACATGACTAGACAACATTTTAGGACAATGGCAAATAAACAAAAACACCAAAATTCCTAGAAATATAATTGGTTATCTAAGTCTCAGGATATATACATTTGAATTTTTTATTACCTGTCTTTTTTTTTTCTTTATTGAGAGAGACAGACAGACAGACAGTGGCCCAGTGAGTTTCATTAGGGTTGATTATGGGAACATGGGTAAGAGTTTGTTTACAAGGACATGGGCACTTTGCCACAGTCTCACCACTGATGAAAATATCTTTTTCCCTATCAACTGTTAACGCTGTATAAATCCTCAGGGAGGGCAGGGTCCCATGAGCCTCTTCCCCTTCCCTGGCAGAGTGTTGACAGGCCCAGGCTTGTGCAGGTAGTCACAGCTGTTGTGAATGCAGGAGTGCAGAAACTGCCTTGCCCAGAAATCAGCCTTGGCTCTCACCATGCCCACTTCCTCAGGTTCTTAACTTCTTTCCACACTGCTTCTTTCACCGTGGAGGGTGCACTTGAAACACTGTGGCTGTTACTCTCCAGAAAGGGCTTCATACCTCCCGGTAATTAGAACGCAGCTGAACCCCGATGAACCTTCTATTTCTGTAACTAGTTTCCTGCTTACCTGTCTTTGTGCTGTTCTGCTTGCCTGCTATACGAAGTCCAGAGACGGCTCCATTCTTCATAAACTGCTGAACTGGAACTAATCAGAGTTAAGACACTGTACAAATTCAAAAGAGTAAACTGTAACCATCAAGCAGCAGCAGCCCGACTCCTATGCCTAGAATGACCTCCCTTTCCCCAGAACTGACAGCTAGGGGCTCTCCTGCTCTCATGAGAGGGTGTAGCCAGGGACTCTGTGATACCCCACTTCTGTACCCTTCCACGCGCTTGAGTGCACCACAACTCCACAGTAAATATATTCTGCCCCCCCCCCCCCCCCCCCCCCCCCCACGCACACACAAACACACACGCACACACAGGTTTTGCAGACGGCTTGCAGGATTCAGAAAGTGGAGATGCTCAGCTCCTGAGAGGCCAGTTAGGAGTTCAGAGTGCTAGCCTGGACTGCCTCTGAAATTGCAGCTGCTCAGCTAACCTGCAATCCTTTCCCCGGGCAGATGACCCGGAAAGGCTGAATGTTTTAAAGCACTGTATTTAACCCGGGCTCACCTGGAAAGAGAGCTTCTCTCATTTTGCTTTTTATCCCCCTGGAGTTTATTTTAACTGTTGACTATGCGAAGAATTTAGTGACAGGTACAGCAGTGTGGTCCTGTACATACACTTGATGAAATTCAACAACTTTTACTTTGCATCCTGGGTTGAGAGTTTACTTTTTTTTTTGGTCTTTTAAAAAACTTACATTATTTCTGTGGATGGGTGTATATGGGGGAGTTTGTGGAGGTCAGAGGACAACTTATGGGAGTCTGTTCTTCCCTTTGACTACGTGAGTCCCAGGAGTAATTCAGGTTACCAGGCATGATAGAAAGTGCTTTGACCTGCTGAGATAACCTATGGCCCTCACAGTTAATTTTTTAGGGAAATGACATATCTCGTTACAGGTCAGTAAACAATTAAGCAGGATCAGGGCAAATCACCTATTCACCTGCCAGCCGTGCATACAGTAAACTTTTATCAGAGAGAAAATGTTCAATGTATACCTTCTTTTTTAATTATTTATTTTTATTTTATATACATTGGTGTTTTGCTTATATGTATGTCTGTATGAAGGTGTCAGATCACCAGGACCTGGAGTTACAGACAGTTGTGAGCTGCCATGTGGGTGCTGGGAATTAAACCTAGGTCCTTTGGAAGAACAGCCCATGCTCTTAACCACTGAACCATCTCTCCAGTCCCCAATGTATACCTTCTTGTATTTTAAATTTTATACTAGATTAAGTACTAGAGTTTAATTTTTAATGTTTGAACAAATTAAATACTGATTGTAAGTTAGCAAATTAAATGAGACACATAAAAAATTCCCATCATAGAGAATGTGATTTTGAAGAATTAACTATGAATTGTTACTTTAAACAACCATCACACTAC